ATGTCAGGATCTGTTATATTAAACATGTTTATTCCACATTTATTTAATCCACGGATTCCTTCTGGAAAAGCAGATCCTGATATCAGGACCATGTTCTGATCCAGGTCTCTTCATCCTGGGGAGTTTCTAAACTTATCGACCAACTGATGGGGAAGAGAAGCTAAACTAGCTTTCTGGAACTGAAAGCAGCCATGTTCAAATTCCTCTGCTTGGAAAACACCAGAAATCTGCTGATGGAGTCGCAGACAATCCGTCTGACAAGCAGCGAGTTCCTGTCGGAGCTGAAATCTCTCCCAGTCAGACTCGCTGAGGGTACGATGCCTCCCAGAGAGGCGTCCGGTAGGCATAAACCAGCATCCTGACCGTGAGGATGAGGATGGTTTAAATGGAGGTCTGTCTTTAAAGACATTTAACATTTCTAAATATCGTCTGAAAGAGGAGGAGAGCTGGAGGTTAAAGGACGGATGATTGTAGCTGCTCTCATTTCATCCAAAGGCTTAGGAGAAACGACCAGCTTGTTGGTCTGACTTCAGGATGCAAACTGTCTCTGTAACCATGGTAACTGCATAGTCCTTTATTAATAGTAGACCATAAAAGCAAAGGAGTTTGTTTCTTGGATTTTCCTCCATCGTTTCTCAGACCAAAGCTTTTCTCCTGCCTGATGTTTGGCTCCCTGTGGAGAAGCCAGCGTTGCAGAGCAGAGACGGTGATGATGCTTCTGCCATGTCATGCATTTGTTGGCTAGAGCTCCTCTAGCAGAAAAGCGTGCCTAATGGATGAGTCATGGGAATTTTGGGGACAAGGGGAAGATGGGATGCATGAAAGAGGACTGGGGGTGGCTGTGAGTCAGCAGAGCTGGAATCTGTGGCAGTCTTTGTCTATATATGGACTCCAGCAGGATAGCGGGAATGTTCACTGCTTCTTTGCATGTTTGTTGCCTTTCCAGGAGAATCAGAGTGGATGTATGCTAACAGGAAGTGTTAGCTGGTGTATCGACACATCTGAAACGGACTGCTAGGCTTCAGACTCTACAGAGACGCCCTAAAGGGAGTCAATCACCTTTTTTAGGTCATGTTTTGGACTTGTTTAAGCTGGAGGTCTGACAGCAGCTGTGCAACACGCCCTGCTGTAGCTGATCCACATTCCTCCTGCAAGCATCAACCTGTGATGCACACCTAACTCCAACCCAGCCATTGGACTCTCTGGTGATTTTATCTCTGTCCTTAGGCCACCTTTTCCGTCTCTCCTTTGTCTGGGCTGGTTCCTCCGTCCCTGAGTGGACCACCTTCTCCTTTCCTACCCATGGAATTGCTCACAGTCGCCTGACCAGCAGCATCCCTGGGTGTGACTCCAGGGATGGTCATTTTCCTCCTGGGTGTCATGGAAATGTTTTACAGCACTGGGAAGATTGATATATTAGACTTGCTGGAACGCAACGCAGTCAAACTAGACAGTTAACTGGAATAGTACAAATATCCCAGTAGATCTGAGCCTTTTTCTATTTTCTGCATTTACTTCCATCGCCCTCATGTGGTTTTCCAGTTCTCCGTCCAGTCAGACTCCATCTCCAAACTTACTGTAACACCAGGCCCCACATAATCTAATGCTCCTAAATTAAGCCTCATTTCTCTAAAGATCACTTCAGACCAAATGGTTGTGACTTTAACAGTGAAGGTTTGAAACAGGGGAGACATATTGCTTAAATTCTCAGGCTTGGTTTTCATCTTCTTACCAACCATTAAAGCTCTGAGCAGCTTTTTTAGACGCTGTTCCTGTCAGTGAGAGGACGCGTTGCTCCACCGTTTCCTTCAGGCTGGATCTCTGCAATCATCCTCTTAATAACGACGTCTTATGCAACATCGCTGCTGGATTTCATGGTTCTGGGGGCATCGTGCGAGTCGTGCCTAGACAAGCTTCAAGCTGAATCTCTTCCTCTTCTATCAGCTGCTTAAGTTGTTCAAACCTGAAAGAAAACAAGCACCTATTTACCTGTACAGGTGCTGGTCATAAAATTAGAATATCATGAAAAAGTAGATTGATTTCAGTAATTCCATTTAAAAAGTGAAACTTGTATATTATATTCATACATTACATACAAACTCATATATTTCAGATGTTTATTTTGTTTAATTTTGATGATTACAAATGACAACAAATGAAAATCTCAAATTCATCATATCAGAAAATTAGAATATTACTGAAGACCAATAAAAACAAAGGATTTATAGAAATGTTGGCCAACTGAAAAGTATGAACATGAAAAGTATGAGCATGTACAGCACTCAGTATTTAGTTGGGCCTCCTTTGGCCTGTATTACTGCAGCAATGCGGCGTGGCATGGAGTCGATCAGTCTGTGGCACTGCTCAGGTGTTATGATAGCCCAGGTTGCTCTAATAGTGGCTTTTAGCTCTTCTGAATTGTTGGGTCTGGTGTATTGCATCTTCTTCTTCACAATACCCCATAGATTTTCTATGGGGTTAAGGTCAGGAGAGTTTGCTGGCCAATTAAGAACAGGGATACCATGGTCCTTCAACCAGGTACTGGTAGCTTTGGCACTGTGTGCAGGTGCCAAGTCCTGTTGGAAAATGAAATCTGCATCTCCAAAAAGTTGGTCAGCTGCAGGAAGCATGAAGTGCTCTAAAACTTCCTGGTATGTGGCTGCGTTGACCCTGGACCTCAGAAAACACAATGGACCAACACCAGCAGATGACATGGCACCCCAAACCATCACTGACTGTGGAAACTTTACACTGGACTTCAAGCAACGTGGATGAAGTGCCTCTCTTCTTTTCCTCCAGACTCTGGGACCTTGATTTCCAAAGGAAATGCAAAATTTACTTTCATCAGAGAACATGACTTTGGACCACTCACCAGCAGTCCAGTCCTGTTTCTCTTTAGACGCTTCTGACGCTGTCTGTGGTTCAAGAGTGGCTTGACACAAGGAATGCGACAGCAGAAACCCATGTCTTTCATACGTCTGTGTGTGGTGGTTCTTGAAGCACTCACTCCAGCTGCAGTCCACTCTTTGTGAATCTCCCCCACATTTTTGAATGGGTTTTGTTTCACAATCCTCTCCAGGGTGCGGTTATCTCTCTTGCTTGTACACTTTTTTCGACCACATCTTTTCCTTCCCTTCGCCTCTCTATTAATGTGCTTGGACACTGAGCTCTGTGAACAGCCAGCCTCTTTAGCGATGACCTTTTGTGTCTTGCCCTCCTTGTGCAAGGTGTCGATGGTCGTCTTTTGGACAACTGTCAAGTCAGCAGTCTTCCCCATGATTGTGTAGCCTATAGAACTAGACTGAAAGACAATTTAAAGGCTTTTGCAGGTGGTTTGAGTTAATTAGCTGATTAGAGTGTGGCACCAGGGGCCATCAATTTTGAACCTTTTCACAATATTCTAATTTTCTGATATGATGAATTTGAGATTTTCATTTGTTGTCATTTGTAATCATCAAAATTAAACAAAATAAACATCTGAAATATATGAGTTTGTATGTAATGTATGAATATAATATACAAGTTTCACTTTTTAAATGGAATTACTGAAATCAATCTACTTTTTCATGATATTCTAATTTTATGACCAGCACCTGTATGTGCTGTTTTATGTGGTTGGACGTGAAATGATCAGATTCGATACTAAAATACGGTGAAATGAACCAAAAGTCTTAGTCTTCCAGTTTGACCTGTTTGATAAACTCTCCAGGGTCTTAGCATTGTGTAGCAGAGCTACGTTGCTCATGGTCAGGGGTTAGCCACTGATGCTAAACGCTCAGGTTTGCTCTTTGACCTCCAACAGTGTGCACTGCTCTGTTCCAGGCTACCATCCATTAAAGGCCTGAAGCCATAAACCAAACAGACGAGTTTCTATATCAGTCTGGGCTGAAGGCTGTCTGGACTTCAATCTTCTGATGCCAGATACAAATACTGAAGGCTGCAGACACAACAGACTTTGACAGGAAGTTTACTGGCCGGTCCACTAGTGCTGCAGTCCTGCCCAGACTGTGGCCCTCAAGGCCCGCCGGCCTGCAGGGAGGGTGGCCGGCCTGCAGGGAGGGCGGCCGGCCTGCAGGGAGGGCGACCGGCCTGCAGGGAGGGCGACCGGCCTGCAGGGAGGGCCGCCGTCCTGCAGGTTTCAGAGGTTTTAAAGCTTCAGTTCAGCAAAAGCCTGGAAATGCGGTGTTTAGGACCGACTCTGGCAAGGCCTGGTCAGGAGCCACCTCGAGTTTAAACCCTGGAAGACTATGGTCATGAGGTTGCACTTAGAAAAAGGCTCTAAAGTCTGTTTGGAGTTAGAAATAGTCGCAGAATATTATGGGCTAGGTGGTTGCATCAGAGTTATACAGGGGCTGATATTAGAACTCATGAGGGAGAGTTGTGATGTGAGCAGGAAATGACTTTTACTTTTATAAGTTAAAATGAAGACAATTCCAAACATCCCATCCCGTTCTGGAGAATCCATGAGTAGTCTCTGTGGGAGTGAGGTCTGGATGATTGTATTCACTGTAGAACTGCTAATTTTGTGACTCCGTTATTTTAATTTCATGGAGAGATTTAGCAGCTTAGACTCCAGGAGGCTGAAGCTCTGTGAGAATTAGGGCTGCAGCTAACGAGTAATCGGATTACTTTATCAATAAATGAAAAATGGCGCCTCCTTGTTTCTTGGCCCATCTGAAGAAGTGAAACGAGACGGATGTGAAGGAATTCCTCTCTGTTCCTGGTTTCATTCAGCTGGAGATGTTCAGCTTCACTGGTCCGTTTTGATCGGATGAACATCTAAACTCCTCAGATGGAGGAGCAAAGCATGGTGGCTGCTGTGATGATGTCTGTTCTTGTTTGTTTTTAAAGATCCCATCTCTCTATAGCATCAGGTTGGATTTAGTCTGAGAAAGGTTTAATTATCCTTTTATTTATTTTAAGATTTCTTCTGTGTTTTTCTGTCATGTCTTCCATATTTGGGACACTTGGCCTCATACTTTGTGGTCTCTGCTCCTCAGACTCCAAAGCTATCGTGGATGGGAACCTGAAGCTGATCTTGGGTCTGATCTGGACTCTGATCCTGCACTACTCCATCTCTATGCCCATGTGGGATGAAGAGGAAGAGGCTGACGACGGCAAGACCAAGACTCCCAAGCAGAGACTGCTGGGATGGATCCAGAACAAACTTCCTGAGCTTCCCATTACCAACTTCAACAGGGACTGGCAGACTGGCCGGGCCCTTGGAGCGCTGGTGGACAGCTGCGCTCCAGGTGAGAGGAAATGGGGAGGTTCTGGACCCAACTGGGGAGCAGACTGGGGCTGGGTATTTTCACCAAAGTCCGGAATCGATTCAATTTGGATTCATAAAGTTCTAAATCGATTAATTTAGATTCGATCTGTTTTTACAATAATGAAAGTGGTTCAACTGTGTTTTAAAATACTCATGTATTTTATTTTTCCTGTCACATTAAACACAAAGTGCAAACTTGTAAATCAGACGGTTTAAACATGAGATGTGACCAAAATTGTCTCATTAGTGCAAACTTGTTTGTGAAAAGTGAAAAAGCGAAGCTTTACACGATCAAGCAGACGTGACACAGCAGACATTTATGAGCTGCATTATCTTCACTACACAAACCAAATACAGGGTGTTTTCTGGTCAACCCCCATTTGTTAATGTCTTCAGTCAACCTATTGGCTATATTTGCAGCTGTCTGGCTTGAAGTCATCTTGAGAGCATCTTTGCTGCTCATTTGAATGTTAACATCATGTGCATCACTATAAAACTAATCGATCTCATTTCCTTGACATCAATTTTGCAAAAATGTAAAGGAATTGATTCAAAATCGATTTTTTTACCCAGCCCTAGAGCAGACATGTTTGTTTTGGATGTTCCGGGCTTCAATGTTTTATTAACATAGAGCTAGGAGAGACAGAGATTAACTTTGCACTAAAATAAAATAGATTTAATTCTTTTAATGGAAAGCTAAACTGCATGAAGAGAGCAAAGTTCAAGTCTCCCTGAAAGCAGCAGAGATGTTCCTGAGCTGGTTTTCTGTCCTGCAGGTCTGTGTCCTGACTGGGACCAGTGGGATCAGACTAAACCAGTGGATAACGCCCGTGAGGCCATGCAGCAGGCGGACGACTGGTTGGGTATTCCTCAGGTAGGATCACACACACGTTTCAGCCTCAAAGCCTCTGTAGATTCAACACGTCTAGAAGCTTTAAATCAGCTTCTCCCTCTGCTGTGAGGAAGGAGCCTGAACATCAAGCGAAGCTTCGCTGCCTTCAGACGTATTTTTATCGGTTCGTCCCTAAAATGTTTCCGTCGCTCAAATGATCGTTTATTCATCACCAGGTTTGTAGGAGGCTCATATTGAGCTGTTGATCAGGAGATACAATCATCCATCATTAAAACATTGCAGCCTATTTGAAGCGGTGTGGTCGTATTGGAGGAGGGACTTCCTGCTGTCTGGTTCGTGCCGCGGCAGCGCGTCTGGCGTAGCTTAGCGTGCCAACAGTTGGCTCTGTGGTCACTGCTGTTTCCGCCTGGGTTTCTGTTTCTGCTAAGAAGCTGGCTTCATGTCTTCCCCCTGCCATCTCTGTGGGTGGCAGAACCAGACAGTGAGAGTCGTTATGAGTAGCGGCTGCAGGTTTGCATGCGAGTCTGGATCAGGTAGTTTCTCAGCTGAAGCACGTGGCTTTCATCACTGAATCCAACCTGATTTAACCTCTGAGGGCAACATGGCGCCAAATCAAGACCTGCAGCTGCAGAGCACCTGCAGGTCTTGATTGGGCACACACAAACACACACACCACATTTGGTGAAGTCACATAAACATCCGAGGCCTTATCATAGAATGTTTTCTTCCGTCTGTTTCCAGGTGATTACCCCTGAAGAGATCGTGGATCCCAACGTGGACGAACACTCAGTCATGACCTACCTGTCCCAGTTCCCCAAAGCAAAGCTGAAGCCTGGGGCTCCTCTCAGGCCTAAGCTCAACCCCAAGAAGGCCCGCGCCTACGGCCCAGGTACGCGCTGAGCTGATGCTGACGCCTTTCTGCAAACTGCTGCAGATTCGCTTCTTCCTAAAACATCAGAAGTTAAACGTCAGCAACTGGAAGAAAGATCATAAAAAAAATAAAAGTCAAATACAGAAGCGGTGTGAGGAGGAATAAATGCAGACATACAAACAGACATTTTTATCCCGTTCAAACTGATTCTCTGTGACCTCAGAGACCAGGGCGGCACCATCCGTCCATCTCAGAGGAGTTATGGCTCCTTTTCGGTCTTTTTAAGGTTTTACTAAACCTGCCTCTGAATTAAAAACGATCAAATGGAGACAGATCCTAGATATCATTACATAGAATGCACAGCAATGCGTTTGCTGTAAGGCTGAGGAGGTGGACATGACTAACAAACACCTTGCAGCCATTGACCTTTGCCTCCTCTGAGCAAAACCATCTGTCCAGCAGATTAAGCTTTGCCCATAATTAACCCAAACAGAACCGCTCCTCTGCCAGAGAACGGAGACGAGTCGCTGGTCTCCAGCTTCTTAGCACTGTTCCCAGATTCGGATCATTTAGTTGAGGTAATATTCGGTACGGCGTCTGTAGCCGATTATCCTCTGAAGCATCCGGCTGTAAACAGAGCGAGCATCTTGTTTTCACCATGTCTGCATCTGCAGCAGATCAACATGTCTTTCTTCTGAAGGGATCGAGCCCGTGGGAAACGTTGTGATGAAGAAGGCCACGTTTACTGTGGAGACCATCAGCGCCGGGATGGGAGAGGTGTTGGTTTACGTGGAGGATCCTGCAGGACACAGAGAGGAGGTTCGTCATCGTTCAGGAATGATAAATGTTTAAAATAATCCCACTCTGGATGTTTCTCTAAACCTTTTTTTCCTCCAGGCCAAAGTGACGGCAAACAACGACAAGAACCGCACCTACTCTGTGGTCTACACCCCGAAAGTTATGGGCATGCACAAGGTAGGCGGAGCTCTGGGTTTCTAAGCTAAAATCTGATTTACTATATTTTATTATGATTTCATTATTATCTTATTTTCTAAGAGTTGATGGGGGGGGGCTTTAAGGGGACGTCAGCTCCTGAATCCTGTCTGCGCCTCGAGGACTCAATGATTGCATTTAGTTCTAGTTAGCCTTAAAGATGGCCGACGCTGAGGTCAGCAATTATCTCTGAGGTCCAATCAGTGATCAGCAGATCGTTTCCCGATTTATTCCAAAAGGAAAAATCTGCCACCATTTAAATGCAGCGAGTATCAGAAGGATGTTTTTGTTGCTTTTTAGGGAAATAAATTTTACAGCATCAGCACTGAAAACCTGATCAAACCTTCATTCCTGTTTGGCTCAGAGCTGCTTCCTCTATCTCACCTCTGCAGAAAGACCAGAGGTTTCTCTTCAAATCACCGCCTTGTTGCTCTGGATGTTCAAGAGCATCGAGGCTCTAACCCTGAACCCTAGGGTTACGGGTCAGTGGTCAGTGTCAGGGGTCAGTGTCAGGATTACGGGTCAGGTGAAGGTGCTTCTTATTTAGATGCACAAAGGAGTTTAGTTTGACTGTAGAAGTGGCTGGTTAAACTGGTTAATTTGGTTATTAGTTAGAAAAAAACATCTGCAATTTTATGGCCCATTTCTATCAGACCATCATTAACAAATGTTAAGAAACTGTTAGAAAATCCAGCAGAAGGGTTGGAGGTCAGAGGTCAGGGTTGGAGGTCAGAGGTCAGGGTTGGAGGTCAGGGTTTAGGGTTAATTCAATTTCAATTCCTTTTTTCTATGTAGCGCCAATTCACATCATTTCATCTTAGGTCACTGTTCACCAGATCATCCAGTCTGATTGATTCAAAGTTTTCTATCTAAAGAAAACCAGTTGATTTTATCGACTCAATGACTCTTCAGCAATCCCTCACACTAAGCATGCTTGTAGCGACAGTGGAGAGGAAAAACTCCCTTTGAACAGGAAGAAACCTCCAGCAGAACCAGGCTCAGTGTGAGCGGCCATCTGCTGAGGCCGACTGGGGTTCAAGGAGACAGAAGCAGACATAGAAAAAGAAGCATAGATACAAAAGGCAACTGTCAACCAGCTCCACAGGCGGCCCCATCCAGGAAACACACAGCCAGGCAGACGAGCTCCGAGCCAGCTCCCATGTCAGAGGATGAAGAGAGCACATCCAGTTAGTCACAGTCAGAGAAACAGGACTACACTGGAAAACAGGCCAAGCTCCAACATCTAGAAACAAAGGTGTTGATGGCAGCAGCACAGCTGATATTTCTCTCCAGGATGGAGTCACAGCCAAACAGGAACAGACCAGATGAAGCTACTATGAGAAAAAGCAGAGAGAGCAGAACGTTAGAGATTGAACTAACAGATTCTGCAGAGTGGGAGAATAGAGATAGAATGAAGCAGAATGATGAAAAAGGGGTCCCTATGTCCTCCAGCAGTCTAAGCCTATAGCAGCAGAACTATAGAGATAGCTCAGGATAACCTGAGCCACTCTAACTAGAAGCTTTATCAAAAAGGAAAGTTTTAAGCCTAGCCTTTAAAGTAGGGTATGGGTTAGGGGTAAGGAGTTGGGGTTTAGACTTAGGCATCCAACATCAGATTAGGACAGAAGTTCTTAAATACATGATCAGCTTCCCTGTGAACAACAGATGGTCGTTTGCACCAATAGAAATTCTGAATAACAGAATTCAGTAGAAACACATCATTTTTTTTTTCAGAAATGAACTTAAAACTGCAACAATCTTCAACAATCTTTCAGCAAAACGTCAAACAAAAACAACCTGAATTCCAGCCTAGATTAATCTTTTTCCAAAGGTTTGGCTGCATGTCTGTAGAACCTGAGAGTGATGGACGGTAAAAAGGATTGAAAGAAAAATCCTAAAATGTCCTTTTTTGGTTGTTGTTTAGGTGACAGTTTTGTTTGCTGGACTGCATATTTCCAAGAGTCCCTTTGAGGTGGACATCGGCATGGCTCAGGGAGACTCCAGCAAGGCTACGGCTCAGGGTCCCGGCCTGGAGCCAGCAGGCAACATCGCCAACAAATCCACCTACTTTGAAGTCTACACAGCAGGTATCGCTAAGGCAACTGATCTGTTTGCTGTGAATCTGCTAAAAGAGTGGAGCTGAAATGCTTTTTATCCCTGAAAGGCGCTGGTGTTGGAGAAGTGGAGGTTGTGATCATGGATCCTGCAGGGAAGAAGAACACTGTGCCCTGCACCATTGAGGACAAGGGCAACAGCAGCTACCGCTGCACCTACAAACCCACGCAGGAGGGCCAGCACACCATCTTCATCACCTATGCTGGCGGTCAGATCAGCAAGAGTCCCTTCACCGTCGACGTGGGAGAAGGTGAGGCTCCCTTAGGAGGCGTCACTAGATATTATTCATTATTTAAAGTGTTTGTTTCCTTCCAAGCTGGTTTCTAATTGCTTCCTGTCTCCTTCTGCTGTGCTGGATGTCAGACCTTCTGTCCGTTTCTCCTCCCAGTCTCTTTGATTGAGGCCCGCTGGCATCTGTCCCCTCCTGAGAACGGCCTCTTCCTTCTGCTGTCATTTCCTGTTTCCTGGCGTCTCTCTCGGGTACCCGCTGTGTGTCAGACTGAGTGCTTATGGCTTCATCTACTGAACATTTCTGACCCACTTATCTCATCCTGGGTGTTTATTCCTTTATTTTGGGAATGACTTCCTTCCTTCCACTCATTTTCTTCAGATTAGATTCAGGTCATTTTTCAAAGTAAAACCATTTTCTCTACGTTTCTGTTCAGGTTATCAAATAAATCTATAATTCCAACTTTATTAATGACTGATGCGTATCAAAAGTTTTTTTTAGTAAAACTACGTGAATATAGCAGATAGACCGGTTTGATCTGACGGCTAAATAAAACCTGATTTCCATTATAAAAATATCATCTCTGATGTAAAGAGGATTAGTCACATGATATATGCCTCTAACAAAAAAAGCCCATTTGATCCTCATGAAATATAATTTATTCACCATTTTTTTCATTTTGAGACTAAATAGGATTTTAGCACCGGGTGCCATAGACGGATATAAGAGACGTCTGCGCCCTCTGCTGGCAGAACTGCAGAACTGTCAGAGTAAATCTTCCCCAGAACATGAAGGAAAAAGGAAATTCTCATTTCTACCAAAGTAAAACAAACGTTTCAGAGGAAAAAACGTCACAGGCTAAAACTTTTCTATTGGAATAAATTTAAATTAAAAGCTTATTTCCCCTGTGAGTTTTCACCAGCAGCTTTAGCTCCCCTCCAGTCAACACCAGAGTTCCCCGTCCTCCCAGCTCTATTCCAGTCCTGGGATCATTTTATTTTTTAGGGTTTTTCCCCTCTGGGGGGGCTAATTAGCTAGCTCCATTACTTCCATGTGCGGTAACCATGAAGGAAAAAAAAACAAAAGGGAAAAAAAAAACACGCTGCATTAGATTTTCTGAAAATGTTGTTTTTAGGAATAAATTGGTTTAATAAATGCAGAATCTGATCGACTGTTTTTGTGATATAAGAGGTGCGTAGCTCTAAGCGTACCTCTGTGTTTCGTTTCTAATATGAAACTCTGACATCTGTCGTATTGAATTATGTCCCACATGTGACATAAAATATTTCTCCTTCACTTTTCTGCAGAAAGATCGGCTGCTCTTCTATCTCTTTAAGTTCCATTCCTTGTTTCCTGGTCTTCAGCTGCTTCCTGTGGCTTTCCACTGAGGCTTGTTCTTCCAGATAAGACGCCAAATTAAAAAAACTCGCTCACTTCCTGCATGGCGTTTGGCAGGAAAGTTCCTCTGAGAGATGAGATAACTGAGGCAGGAGTTTTAGTCCCATCTAGTGTGAAGCTTTCTCCATCATCATGGTCAGGGTGACATTACCTGCGGTTTGAAGGTCCTTAAGGTGTGTCTTCCTCTTAACTCTCACAGCATGCAACCCCAGCCTCTGCAGAGCAAAGGGGCGTGGCCTGCAGCCGAAGGGCCTGAGGGTGAAAGAGACGGCAGACTTTAAGGTCTACACTAAAGGAGCCGGAACCGGAGAACTTAAAGTCACCATCAAGGGTCCCAGTAAGTTTACACACCCACCAGCTGAGGCTGGCTGTGAGGATCTCAGGTCTGCTGATAAACTGATCAGGCCTCAGGAAAAAGATGGACTCGTTTTTATTTTAAAAGCTACGTTGTTGCCTAAAAACATCCTTAAAGTTGACGATCGGAGGAAGGACTCAGTCACAGAGGCCATAAAGGCTGTCCCAGTTCCTGCCTCTGCTAAATGTCCTCCTCCTGGATTCATAGGAGCAGAGTATCTTTAGTTGCCCATCATTTCCCAGCATTTATTGCGGGTCAATTTAGGACATCCTAAAGCGTACGACGCCTGGAGTCTCGCTTTAAGGTCCGCATCAGTGCTAGAGAACTGATCGTATCTCATGACATTTATACGAAAAACATTGATTGGGTCTTAACTTAATTCATTTATCCAAAAAAAAAGCAACCTTCATTTAGAAACATCCAGATCCTGGATGCCTGACTGGCGTTAAAGCCTCAGGGAAGAGAAATTAGCATCTAGAATGTGCGGGATGGCGAGCAATGATTATCATCACATTGAATTTAGTCCAAGAACAACCATACTGGCTGAGCAGAACAGGAGAAATCCAGTCTGCTTCCTGCCCTAAGAGACGGCATGGGGCCTGAACCTCGCCAGCATCTCATCCTCATTATAAAAGCATCTGAAACACTGTAGAAGTTAAACCTCCTGAACTGAAGCCGTCCTACGTTTGCAGAGGGGATCGAGGAGCCGTGCAAGAGGAAGGACCTGGGAGACGGGGTATATGGATTCGAGTACTACCCCACCACCCCAGGAACCTACTCCATAACCATCACCTGGGGAGGACAGCACATTCCCCGCAGGTAATGCCGCCTACCAGCTGCTCCTCCACCTTTACCAGCTACAGTGATTGAGCCCTCATTGTCTCCTGCAGCCCGATCGAAGTCAAGGTCGGTTCTGAGGCCGGACAGCAGAAGGTGAGGGCCTGGGGCCCCGGCTTGGAGGGAGGCGTTGTTGGCAAGTCTGCTGACTTTGTGGTGGAGGCTGTTGGAGAGGACGTTGGAACGCTGGGTGAGTGAGATGGAGGTGAGGGAGCAGGAAATGTCGCCTGTTTCTCCTGTCTGAGCCGTCTGCGCTGCTCTCGCTCAGGTTTCTCTGTGGAAGGTCCGTCTCAGGCCAAGATCGAATGCGACGATAAGGGCGACGGCTCGTGTGACGTGCGCTACTGGCCCACGGAGCCCGGGGAGTACGCTGTCCACGTGCTGAACAACAACGAGGACATCCAGCACTCTCCCTTCATGGCCGAGATAGTCAGCCCTCCTGGGAAAGACTTCTACCCCGACAAGGTGAGGCCGTTCACGGCGAGGACGGGCTGCAGAGACGCGGCGTGTCCCTCAGCGCCTTCATCCTGGATGGTGCTCTGTTTCAGGTGAAGGCGTTTGGTCCCGGCCTGCAGAGCAGCGGTCTGGCTGTGGGTAAGCCCACCGAGTTCACGGTGGACGCCAAACAAGGAGGGAAAGCTCCCCTGAAGATCTCTGCTCAGGTTGGTGTTCTTCCTGAAAATGAGCCGCAGCATATTTTCCACAGCATCCAGTAAAAACACTGATCCTCACAGGATGGAGAAGGAAACCCTGTGGAGGTCCAGGTGAAAGATAATGGTAACGGCACATTCACCTGCACGTACACCCCACGCAAACCACTGAAACACACCGTCATGGTGTCCTGGGGGGGAGTCAACATCCCGGACAGTCCGTTCAGGGTGAGGAAGCCCCTCCCACTCCGTTTTTAGTCCCGCCCTCTGTCTCTGCACCTCCTGAGCTCCTCTGTCTGCTTCTTGAACCACAGATGAACGTGGGAGCCGGCTGCCATCCCAACAAGGTGAAAGTGTCGGGCCCTGGCATCGCGAGGACCGGCCTGAAGGCCTTCGATCCAACCTACTTCACTGTGGACTGTTCAGAGGCGGGTCAAGGTAAACCCAACAGCAGAGATCTGGGTCTGCAGAGACCAATCGCTCTCCACAGAACATCGACATTTTTCATCTCAGATTCTCATGGCCACTTTGCTGTAAGGTCATCTTCCATCTTTAAATATATATATAAAATAAATCTGTCAGTCAGAATCAGAAAAGAAGGTCAGAATTTTTAAAGATGGATGATCAGCTAGAAATCTGGAATCTCTACAGTCAGAGCAGATCTAATCTCCTTCCTGTTCCTTCCCGTTCTGCCGGGTCAACGGTTGGAACGTTATCATCAGATGAAAGAATTTTGCTATGATTGGGACTACAACCCTCTGCTAAAAGAACTACAAAAACCAGAAGCACTGTCCTAAAACGAAAATTACGTATGTAACTACGGTTCTATGAATCCCGGATGACCGCCAGAGGGCGGTGCTGAAAGCACTGAATGTTCCCTTCGGGCATGCGCAGTTCGAGTAATTATACCAACAGAGTCACACCTGTGACACCGGATGACCACTCAGAAGCTATATAGCCTGGTGTCATCCTTTGCTCTGCTCCTACAGAATCTTCTCGCAAAAGCAAGGATTCTGAGTGACAGAGAAGCTCTGGCGGTCATCCGGGATTCATAGAACCGTAGTTACATATGTAACTTTCGTTCTATTTCATCCCTACTGACCGCCAGAGGGCGGTGCTGAAAGCACTGAATGACTAATGCCAACGATGTCACAAGGAATCCTGAGCACATACCTCACAGAGGAGGCCCAGCAGAACCTTGTAAAAGGACCTGACCCAGGGGATGAGGGGCAGCCACATTGACACTGTAGAACCTGGTGAAGGTGGTTGGGGAAGCCCATGAAGCAGCAGCACATATAGCTTCCAGCGGAACCCCTCTCAAAGCAGCCCAGGAAGCGGTGACGCTCCTGGTGGAATGTGCTCTCACACCGACTGGCAGGGAGCAGTGACCTGCAGCGTAGGCGTGGCAGATGACACTCACAATCCAATGGGACAGACGCTGTTTAGAAAGGGGACAGCCTAACCTTGGACCCCCATAGCATAGGAAAAGCTGGTCCGAGCGTCTCAGATTGGCGGTGGCTGCAATGTATGCCTCCAACGCTCTTACTGGGCACAACAACTCAGACTCATTCTCAGTTGTACCAGATTGAGGCTGAAACCGAGCCAGCCGCAATGGCTGGTTACGGTGAAAAGGAGACAACACCTTAGGCACAAACGCAGTATTAGGCCACAGGGTAACACCAGAGCCATCTGGATTCCACCTGATACACCTAGGGCTGACAGAAAGAGCATGTAGCTCGCTGACCCTCTTAGCTGAGACGATAGCCATCAGGAAAGCAGTCTTGCAGGAAAGCCACTTGAGTTCTGCTTGTGCCAAAGGCTCGAATGGAGGGTGGCACAGAGCTGTGAGAACCAACGGCAGATCCCAATCTGGGGCTCGTGGAGCGGGCCGCTGGCACAACCTACGAGCACCACGCAGAAAAAGTGAAACCAGTTCATGGCGCCCCACTGTACGGTTGTCAACAGATTGGTGAAGACATGAAATTGCTGCAACATACACTTTAAGGGTCGAAGGAGAGCGGCCCTTATCAAGGAGAGACTGGAGGAACTCCAAGATAGTGGGCACCAAGCAGGAAACCGGGTTCTCATTGTGGGCAGAGCACCACTGAGAAAAGAGGCGCCATCTGTTAGCATACTGCAGCCGAGTGGAGGAAGCCCTAGCACTCAATATGGTGTGTCTCACAGTGTCTGAACACCCAGTCAGCCTCCCAGGGGCCATGCCCACAGCTGGAGACGTTGAGGGTTGGGGTGCCATATCTGTCCCCCCAACTGAGACAGCAGATCCCTCCTTGCTGAAGACCCCATGGAGTACCGTGACACAGACTCCAAAGCAGCGGGAACCACGGCCGCGCTGGCCAGAACGGAGCTACCAGCAACACTCTGTGGCCCTGCTCGAGAACCCTCCGTAGAGTCGGCCAAATCAGTGAGAGGGGTGGAAAGGCATACAGGAGAACCTGCGGCCATGGATGAGCCAGTGCGTCCTGGCCCAGTGCGCCCGCCACCCCGGTTAGGGAATACCATAGGGGGCAATGGGTCGACTCCTCTGTGGCGAACAGATCTACCTCTGCCTGCCCAAAGAGGTTCCAGACTATGCGCACTACGTCGCTGTGAAGAGACCACTCTCCCGGAGCAGGTGCCTGGCGGGATAGAGAGTCCGCAACCTGGTTCTGCCGTCCTGGCAGATATGCTGCACGCAGGGTACACAGACGGGGAAACGCCCATTCCAGGAGATCCCTTGACACCTTCAAGAGACGCGCTGACCTGGTGCCCCCTTGGTGGTTTATATGATATACAACAGAGGTGTTGTCTGTCCAAATCAGCACATGCCTTCCCTCTAGGTGGGGCAAAAGGCACCGGAGGGCCATGTGCATAGCCCGCAGCTCCAGCACATTTATGTGTTCGGTGCGCTCCCTTGGGTCCCAGAGACCCCGAACAGCTCTGTGTTGCCACACGGCACCCCAGCCCATGAGGCTGGCATCCGTGGTGACCACCTCCCTTCGACACACTACTAGCCCCATTGGAACACCACTGGACAAAAGGGTCCCGTCTCGCCAAGGAGCTAGGGCATGGAGGCAGCTCCTGGTCACCATTAGCCTGCGATGCCTGTGCAGCCTGGCGTCTAGGCGAAAGCTGTTGAGCCATCGCTGTAAAGGACGCAGAAGGAGCAGCCCTAAGGGCACGACACGAGTGACTGATGTCAGTTTGCCCAGCATTCGCAGGAAGATGATGTAGGGAAACTCCCTGCCCAGTCTGAATCGACGGACAAGCTGGAGTATGTCATCCACCCTTTGAACAGATGGACGGGCCATCATGGTAGCAGAGTCCAGATGCATCCCAAGAAAGGTGGTTGTCTGAGATGGAACAAGACAACTCTTTGCCAAGTTGACTTTGAGGCCTAACAGTGACACATGAAGTAGAAGCTGGGATGTATCCCGAGAGGCAGCTACCTGAGAGGGAGCACAAAGAAGCCAATCGTCCAGGTATGGCAGAATCCTGACTCCGGAGGCCTGTAGAGGAGAGAGGGCTGCTTTCACGCATCGAGTAAACACCCTCGGGGAAAGGGAGAGCCCGAATGGGAGCACCCGGAATTGCCAATGGCGCCCCCGATAGGCAAACCTGAGAAAACGGCGATGTTCTGCCGCAATAGGCACGTGAAAGTAGGCGTCTGTCAGATCTAATGATGTAAACCAATCTCCCGCCACAATGGTCTGAAGGACCTCTGTTATGGTGAGCATGTGGAAGGGAAGGACCTTCAGGTACCGATTCAGTCCCCTTAGATCTAAAATGGGGCGAAAACCGCCGGTCTTCTTGGCCACAAGGAAGTATGTGGAGTAGTAGCCTCTGGGTTGCCGCAGAGGATCTACAGACTCGATTGCCCCCTTGCCCAGGAGGGCGGAAAGCTCCTGGTCTAGTGTCTGAGATTTCACCGGGTCTGTGATGACAGTCATCTTGACCCGGTGTGAGAGGGGGGGCCGCCGTCGGAACTGGAGCCTGTAGCCATTGGTTAAGATGGCAACCACCCATGGATCTACGGCATGAGCAGCCCAGAAATTCAGCTGCTGATGGGAAAAATGTCCGACGGCTGGCCCGGTGGCATCATCTTCTATCCCCACAGCCCCTGGGGGCTCTGGGGGGAGGGCGTCCAGGATTTGAGGCCCGGGTCTGTCTAACAGGGCGGCAGACTGGCTCACGAAAGTCCCTCCTCGGTCTCTGCCGCACATCATGGGGATAGGAACCAACAGGTCTGCCACCAGTCTGAGGTCGTGGCTGAACGCTGGGGGTAGTGGCAGGGCGGCCCGAACGCTGGGGAAAGGCAGGTATGCTCCTGCGAAGGCCGGAAAGCTGCTGGCTAGTCTGACGTGCCTGAGCAGTCCGTTCCAGCGCCTCCAAGGCAGCTGATCCAAACAGCTCCCCTGGTACAACCGGGACACCCCTGAGGGTCCTACGGCATGCTGCAGTCAGAGGAGATTGTGCCAACCAGACCTGTCTACGAGCTTGGACAAGGAAAGACATGACCCGTCCAAGCTCTCTGGTCATCAGCGCGAAGGCCTGCAGTGCTGCGTCACTATAACCAACCGCCGCACTTGCACCACCAGTGTCCTGAACAGATGAAGACAGGGCAAACATGAGGTGCGCCAGAGAATTGCCAAGGCGGCCAGCACGCGCTCCTGCATTGTACGCCTTACAGAGGAGGTCATCTGTAACCCGACATTGAGTCCGCGGGCACCGGACATCAGGACGCAGGGCTTCATCTGGTGACACAATCAGTGAAGCAACAGCTGGTTCAATTGCTGGCATACGGTCCAGGCCGGCCTTCACCGACTCATGCATGGCAGCTAATACACGACCATCCGATGAGAGACGCGACAGCGCTCTCGGTTCCCGCCAACAGGCGTGTAACTCCTTCAAGTACTCCTCTAATGGAGGTACAGAAAAAGGAGTAGGAGCCCTTCCACGTCTGAAAAAGGCACTGCCGGAGCTGGATGCCTCTCCTTGTGGGAGTTCCAGCTGCAGCTGCTTCAGGGCCATAGACATGACCTCCCGCATGGAACCGTCACCGGCCTCTCCAACCGCACTCTGAGATGAAAATGAACCAGCCTCAGAGGCTTGAGAGGACCCTGCCTCCTCCTCATCTCTAAAATGAGAAGCGGAAGCAGCCAGAGAGATAACGTCATCCTCTACAACCAGCTCGGGCATTGGTGGGGAAGAGAGCCCAACCACTGGGAGCGAGGGATCAGATTGCCGTGTCTGCAACAAGGACTTCATCTCTGCCAGCTCTGCTGACAACTGCTCCACCCTTGTGGACAGGCCCTGGTCAGGTTTGGCCCGCTTCCTCCGGGGGAGGGGCACAGATGCTGTGGTCCCACCACGGCGCTTAGAACGCTTGGGGGGAACCACCTGCCCAGAGGGCGGAAGGTCCGAGCCCTCCTGGGGGCACAACTGGGCCAACCGGGCCACCCTCACTGCATGGGGCATAAAGGTGCAGTTCATACAGGGGTTCTCAGACAGCGCCTCCAAAAGGTGCTCATGTCCAAGGCAGGTAGGGCACAGGTCGTGGCCATCCTCTGCCTGCAGGGCAGCCTCACAATCCATGCAGCTGTGAGAGCCATCCATGTCGAAGGCCGACAAGGCTTAAAGAACAGAAAGTTATCGAAAATCGGGAGAGGGGGCGCAAACGCAGCCGTCACCAATTACAGCAGAGAAACGAAAGAGGCTGCGAGCACAAGGCAGCCGATACTGGGAGAGGGGGCGAGAACCGCTACCGTCACCAGGTATAAAACCAATAAACCAAAAAAGCTAACAACGTTAGCTGTATGGAAACTTAAGTTGGGAGTAGGAGCGAACAACGCTGCCGTCACCAATTAAGTGAGCAGACCAACGAAAAGGCTGCAAAAAAGGTTGATTTTGGGAGAGGGGGCGAAAACAATGCCGTCACCATTCATAACTAAGCAGACCGATGAAGAAGGCTGCAAACAAACCAAAAAAGGCTAACAACGTTAGCCGTCTATAACTTCGGCAAACGAAGTAGACCACACTTGGTTGGGAGAGGGGGCGAAAACCGCGGCCGTCAGTAATTATAGCAGCGCAGACCGGTGAAAAAAAGGATGCAAAAGTAGGGAATATACTGGGAGAGGGGGCGAAAACCGCTGCCGTCACCAGGTATAACACCAACAAACTAAAGAAGCTAACTACGTTAGCCGTATATAACTTCGGCAGTGAAGTTATTCACACTGGGAGTAGGGGCGAAAACGCTGCCGTCACCAGTTCGAAACAAAACAGCACGAAGCTGTAGGTAAAAAGCTAAAGTCGTGAGCCGGGAGAGGGGGCGCGGACGCTACCATCACCAGCAAACAACTCACTTACCTTCCGTAATCCTCAGAATCGACCCGTTGCAGCCCTGGGAGGGCGGAGAATAACCGCAACTCCGGTCAAGATACAGGGGCTTCAGACAACGGGGAAGTTAGCGAACAGCTTGCGAGAAGAAAAAAGGAGCAGAGCAAAGGATGACACCAGGCTATATAGCTTCTGAGTGGTCATCCGGTGTCACAGGTGTGACTCTGTTGGTATAATTACTCGAGCTGCGCATGCCCGAAGGGAACATTCAGTGCTTTCAGCACCGCCCTCTGGCAGTCAGTAGGGATGAAATAGAACCTGTTTATGAAATGGAATCTTCAGGAGGTGGCCCACACGTCCTGTAACACAAAGGATTGTGGGAAACCAAATTGCTCTTTGCTGGCATGTAGGGAGCTTCCTATGCTAACTGAGCTAAGCTAGGAAGCATCCTGCTTCCTTTTCCTCCCTCCCTCCCTTCTTTCAGCCCCCATCACTCTACGTTTCTGCCTTTTGGTCCTCAGGTGACATCAGCATAGGGATCAAATGTTCTCCTGGCGTGGTGGGACCGGCAGAGGCAGACATCGACTTTGACATCATCAGAAACGACAACGACACCTTCACGGTGAAATACACGCCTCCCGGAGCGGGCAGCTACACCATCATGGTGCTGTTCGCCGAACACGTGAGTGAAACTGAAGCATGAGGAGTGGGAATGTGGCTCCGTCGAAACTGAATCGCTTCGCTGTCTGGTTAGGCCATCCCCATGACGCCGTTCAGGGTGAAGGTGGATCCCACTCACGACGCCAGCAAAGTGAAGGCTGAAGGACCGGGACTCAGTCGCAGCGGTAAGAAACAAACCATGATGCTTCCCAGGAGAACGTCTCTGCATCCTACTGATCGCCTCCTGGGAAATAAACTCCTAAATATACGGAAAAGATTTCCATTGATACTGATAGTCAGACATATTCCATCAAAGAAATTTAATATTGAAAGACTGATCTCATTGATGGCTTTATTTATTTCTAGATCAAATTCATAGTCGATGTTTCTATTTTTCTGACATTGAATAAAGTAGTTTTATTAAATATAAATTAGTTCCAAAATAGCTCATTAATCTCAAAGGGAATTTAAATGGTGCATGTTAATGACTTTAATCCCATTTTTATTATGAGATAATTAATCAGAAAACAGATAATAAATCATGAAATAAATGAATTAATAATGTTTTGTTTTTATTTCTTAGTAATCTCTCAATAACAGTATTTATTGATTTAGAATACAGAGAAGGTCCATAGGAAGGTTGGTTACAGTCTCCTTCTTTCTTTACAATCCAGCTCCAACTGCTGATAATCCAATTTATGAACCAATCCAATGGATTATAGATTTAATGGGAGTTCAGGCTTTCAAGGAAACTCCTCTTTCCACTCATGGTTTCCTGTTTCCTGCAGGCGTGGAGTTGAACAAACCCACTCACTTCACGGTGACCACCAAAGGAGCCGGAAAGGCCAACCTGGACTGCAGCTTCAGCGGAGCCACCAAAGGAGAGGCTGTCAAGGACTTTGAGATCATAAACAACCACGACAACACGCACACGGTCAAATATACGCCTGTGCAGCAGGTCGGCCATTTAATCCGTCTGATGTTGCTCACTGCGCCCCCTCTCCTCTGGGAGGGGAGGCACGGTCTTTGGCGGGGAGGTAAATCTGCTCGCCTCTCCCCTTCAGGGTCCTCTCGGGGTCGCTGTGACCTACGGTGGAGATCACATTCCTAAGAGCCCCTTCAACGTCGCTGTGGCTCCAACGCTGGACCTCAGCAAGGTCACGGTCAGCGGGCTAGGAGACAGTACGTACAACGCCGCCGCCTCAACTCCTCCGTCTGTCACGACGTCTCATTCTTTACTTTGTCATTTTCTGCAGGAATATTTCTGCCTGTTTGTCGTTATCTGATGGTATTTTTGGATGCTTGATTTATTGTTTAGCTCAGGAAGTTTTTTTGTCTCTGGGCATAGACCGATGCGTCTGCTGGACCACATTTTTCTCTGTCAGAAGCCGATGCAGACGAACATTTGCTGATTTATTATTGAGACATTTTTAGTTTATGGAGGCAGAAAAAAATTGTCCCAACAAACGGATCATCAGCTTATAGCGGATCCTTTAGATTGAAGTTAAAATAATGGGCCTAAAGAGAAATCGGTATGGGCCGATGACCAGTCGCTTCATCTTCTCTTCCATTTAGGGCCAATCATTTCCAGCAGAAGTTTTGGTTTTAAGTGATTCTGGATTCTTTCTGTTTTTCTGCAGAGATGACTGTCGGCAAAGACAAGGAAGTGACGGTGAAATCGAAGGGAGCTGGAGGTCAGGGAAAAGTTGCTGCCAAGGTCACCGGACCATCAGGGAAACCTGTGGCCTGCAAGGTCAGAGTCATTAACACGCATCTCTTATTTCTCTTAAAGTTTAAAGTAGTGAACTTTCTAATCTGGATGTTTGGTGCCTCCAGGTGGAGCCGGGGCTTAGCCCAGAGACCAGTCAGCTGAAGTTCATCCCCCGAGAGGCGGGACCCTACCAGGTGGAGCTGACCTACGACGGCGTGCCCATCCCAGGCTCCCCCTTCACTCCTACAGCCTATCCCTCCTCAGACCCGTCCAAGGTGAGCAGCAGGCGGCCCCGCCCTCTCAGACCTCCGTCTGGCGGCCGTTAAACCCCCACTCCTGCCTCCCATCTGCAGGTGCGCTGCTCCGGCCCAGGACTGGAGCGTGCCAAGGTCGGAGAGACAGGGGAGTTTGTGGTGGACTGTACCAACGCCGGTCCGGCCGAGCTCACCATCGAGATTATCTCGGACAGCGGCACAGAGGCAGAGGTCCACATCCAGGACAACGGCGATGGAACCTACACCATCACCTACATCCCCCTCTACCCCGGCTCCTACACGCTCACCATCCGCTACGGGGGCCAGGATGTGCCAAACTTCCCCGCCCGCCTCAATGTGGAGCCGGCGGTCGATGCCAGTGGAGTGCGCGTGTTCGGACCGGGAGTGGAAGGCAAAGGTAACGGTGGCCATGGCAACCAGCATGTTGTTTGAGGCTTAACACGTCTTTCTCTCGCTCGCTTTTCTGCAGTTCTTTATTCTTTTTCCTGTTTAGGTCGAAAAGTTAACAGATTAACTTATTTCATCCTCCGTAGCTGAAATCGTTGGTAGCTTTTTGTTTGCTGTTTTTTTTTTTTTTTTGTCTGTGAAGTTCTAATAAAGCCGTAAATTACATCTGCTCACGCCTCGACATTTGCTGCACCCGTGTTTTTCAGGAGTCTTCCGAGAGGCGACCACGGATTTCACCGTGGATGCTCGAGCTCTCACACAGAGCGGAGGAGACCACATTAAAACCCTCATCAGCAACCCGTCGGGCAGCCGCACCGACGCCCTCATCACAGACCTGGGAGATGGGACTTACGCCGTGGAGTACACCCCCTACGAGGAAGGTGAGTCTGAAGGCTGGAGAGGAACGGCGAGAGCTTTCAGTCTGCTCCGGACGGTAACTGTGTGTTTGCTTCAGGCCCTCACAGCGTGGAGGTTTCCTACGACGGCTCCCCGGTGCCCAAAAGCCCGTTCCATGTGGCCGTCACCGAAGGCTGTGACCCAGCTCGTGTTCGCGTGCACGGTCCTGGACTGAAAAGCGGCATCACCAACAAGACCAACAAGTTCACGGTGGAAACCCGGTAGGAAGCTCTGAACGGGGGGAGGCGCTAGTTAGTGTCCTGCTTTTTGATTTGACGGTCATGTTGTCTTGCTGCTGCAGAGGAGCAGGAACAGGAGGCCTCGGTCTGGCAATGGAAGGTCCGTCAGAGGCCAAGATGTCCTGCACGGACAACAAGGACGGCAGCTGCACCGTGGAGTACGTTCCCTCTGAGCCGGGCACCTATAGCCTCAACATTACCTATGGAGGACAACCGATCAAAGGTGACCGCTGGGAAGAACTTTCTGGAATATTTGCATCCACCATGTTTATCTGATGTGGCTTCAGTTCTGTGTGAATATAAGGCGGCTCAGTCCAACCCAAACACATGTAAAGAGCTGCCCTAGCATGGGCATCCACCGTCTGTTGCTATAGCAACGGGGGGCGCACAGCACATAGTCTCGCCTCATAGATTGGCCTCCTTGTTCTTAATGATTGTTGCTGCTGCAGCAGAAATGCAGGGCGGCCATGATGGTTTCCGCTGTCTTCCTCTCTGTCTTTCCTGTTCCCGTATTATTGATGATCTGTTGTGTCGGAGCAGGAAGCCCGTTCTCGGTGCCGGTCAGCGACACGGTGGACAGCACCAAGGTGAAGTGTCAGGGTCCCGGTCTGGGCAACAACGTCAGGGCCAACATCCCCCAGTCATTCACTCTGGACGCATCCAAAGCTGGCGTGGCGCCGATACAGGTCCGCGTACAAGGACCCAAAGGTGCTGTGGCTCTTGGACCTCCTCCAATTTTAAAAGTGTTTCTATAGGGAAAGCTGATCTGTGTCCTGTGTCCTCTGCAGGTGTGGTGGAGCCGGTGGAGGTGGTGGATAACGGAGACCAGACTCACACGGTCAACTACGTTCCCACCAGAGAGGGGCCCTATTCTATCAACGTGTTGTACGCCGATGAGGAGATCCCTCGCAGGTAAAACTGCTCAGAGATTAAGAGTCGTTTTTCTGCAGAGAATACCTTCACTACAGGTCCTCAAAATGTATATGAAGCCCAAAAAAAAAAAAACTGCATCCTGGAAAGGGAGGTCCTTATTGCTAGTGTAGCACTGCCATCATAGCATTGCTAGTGTCGCATTGCTAGCATAGCATTGCTAGTGTCACAGTTCTAGTGTAGCATTGCTAGCATAGCATTGCTAGTGTCACAGTTCTAGCGTAGCATTGCTAGCGTAGCATTGCTAGCGTAGCATTGCTAGCGTAGCATTGCTAGCGTAGTATTGCTAGCATCGCATTGCTAGTGTCGCATTGCTAGCGTAGTATTGCTAGCATAGCATTGCTTGCGTAGTATTGCTAGCGTAGTATTGCTAGCGTAGTATTGCTAGCGTCGCATTGCTAGTGTCGCATTGCTAGCGTAGCATTGCTAGCGTCGCATTGCTAGTGTCGGATTGCTAGCGTAGTATTGCTAGCGTAGCATTGCTAGCGTCGCATTGCTAGCATAGTATTGCTAGTGTAAAACCTTTCCCCAGTTTTGCGTTACTTCTGTGCAGAGGAAAGCCCACTCTGAGTGTTGGCGCCACCTTAAGGGCAGGAGGGAGAAAAATCGGTGTCTTCCCAATTTGTAAAAGGGTTTTAAGTTTTAGTTATATTCAGTTATTCTAACTGAATAAATTTTCCAAAGATCCCTGCATGCAAAAAGAAGTAGACTTTTCTAAACGGTGGCAGTGAACCGATGATGGGCGGCGGTCATGAAAACATTCAGATCCTGCAGGGAAACGTCTGCAATTTAGTGCAGAGAGGATCTCAGGAAGACTGCAGGGTTTTACTAAAGGAATCTCAATGACTGCCTGCTGATCCTGATCCTGCAGATTTTTCCATCACAGTTTTCCTCAGCGCGTAGAAAACAGATTGATTAGCAGAAACATGGAGGAACAGCTCCTCCTGGCAGGGAATTAAACACATAAAGATCAGCAGATTCTGGAAAATCTGCTGATTTCTGAAAGAATTTTGCTTTAATTTTATTTTAGTCTGATAAAATGACTAAATATTTATTAGTTTTCTGTTTAAAAGTTGAAAGAAGTTGAAGGCTGACGCTGTTTATCCTGTTTGCTCCTATCAGCCCCTACAAGGTGAAGGTGCTCCCTACCCACGATGCCAGCAAGGTGCGCGCCAGCGGGCCCGGCCTCAACACCACCGGCGTTCCCGCATCGCTGCCTGTTGAGTTCACCATCGACGCCAAAGATGCTGGCGAGGGACTGCTGGCGGTGCAGATCACTGTGAGGACTCGCACCGACACTTTCACCCACAAATTTCTGCCTGATTTAGCGTCACTGAGACTTTTTATGAATCTCACAGGATCTGAATTTAGCTTCTAAAACAATTAAAGCTGGACAACGTCTGCAGCCGCCTGACCTCCTATATCACACCAGGATTTCCATTCTATTCAGTTTATTTCTATAGCTCCAATTCATGTCATCTCGGATCACTTTATAGAAACGATTCGACCAGATCATGGAATAGACATAGAAGTTAACATTTTAGCAGATGAGAATCATTAAAAACATTAATTTTATTATTTCATTAGAATTTACCTGTACAATAAACCTGTTATTTTGGTTTTATGACTTATTTTCAGTCAGGAACAGTAGAAACAAGACTTAAGGTTTTTAGATGGAGAATATTTCTGCCCCCCTTGCCTGCCCAGAGAGGCTATTAGACTGGAGCACAGGCGCCGTTCTCTGGCTACAAGCAAATCTATAACCTAGAAAAAGATCTGTAACCTAGAAGCAGACCTATAACCTAGAAACCAGATCTATAACATAGAAGCAGATCTATAACATACAAGCAGATCTATAACATACAAGCAGATCTATAACATACAAGCAGATCTATAACCTAGAAACATATGTATAACCTAGAAACCAGATCTATAACCTAGAAGCAGATCTATAACCTAGAAGTAGATCTATAACATACAATCAGATCTATAACATACAAGCAGATCTATAACCTAGAAGCAGACCTATAACCTAGAAGCAGATTTATCACCTAGAATTAGATCTATAACCTAGAAGTAGATCTATAACATACAAGCAGATCTATAACCTAGAAACATATGTATAACCTAGAAACCAGATCTATGACATAGAAGCAGATCTATAACCTAGAAGCAGATCTATAACCTAGAAGCAGACCTATAACCTAGAAGTAGATCTATAACCTAGAAACATATGTATAACCTAGAAGCAGATCTATAACCTAGAAGCAGATCTATAACCTAGAAGCAGATCTATAACCTAGAAGTAGATCTATAACATACAATCAGATCTATAACATACAAGCAGATCTATAACCTAGAAGCAGACCTATAACCTAGAAGCAGATCTATCACCTAGAATTAGATCTATAACCTAGAAGTAGATCTATAACATACAAGCAGATCTATAACCTAGAAACATATGTATAACCTAGAAACCAGATCTATGACATAGAAGCAGATCTATAACCTAGAAGCAGATCTATAACCTAGAAGCAGACCTATAACCTAGAAGTAGATCTATAACCTAGAAACATATGTATAACCTAGAAGCAGATCTATAACCTAGAAGCAGATCTATAACCTAGAAGCAGATCTATAACCTAGAAGCAGATCTATAACCTAGAGACATATGTATAACCTAGAAGCAGATCTATAACCTAGAAGCAGATCTATAACATAGAAGCAGATCTATAACATAGAAGCAGATCTATAACTTAGAAACCAGATCTATAACTTAGAAACCAGATCTATAACATAGAAGCAGATCTATAACCTAGAAACCAGATCTATAACCTAGAAGCAGATCTATAACATAGAAGCAGATCTATAACTTAGAAACCAGATCTATAACATAGAAGCAGATCTATAACCTAGAAGCAGATCTATAACCTAGAAGCAGATCTATAACCTAGAAGCAAATCTATAACCTAGAAGCAAATCTATAACATAGAAGCAGATCTATAACATAGAAGCAGATCTATAACATAGAAGCAGACCTATAACCTAGAAACATATGTATAACCTAGAAGCAGATCTATAACCTAGAAGCAGATCTATAACCTAGAAACAGATCTATAACCTAGAAGCAGATCTATAACCTAGAAGCAGATCTATAACCTAGGAAGCAGATCTATAACCTAGGAAGCAGATCTATAACCTAGGAAGCAGACCTGTAACCTAGAAGCAGACCTGTAACCTAGAAGCAGATCTTTAACCTAGAAACCAGATCTATAACCTAGGAAGCAGATCTATAACATAGAAGCAGACCTATAACCTAGAAACATATGTATAACCTAGAAGCAGATCTATAACCTAGAAACATATGTATAACCTAGAAGCAGATCTATAACCTAGAAGCAGATCTATAACCTAGAAACCAGATCTATAACCTAGAAGCAGATCTATAACCTAGAAACCAGATCTATAACCTAGGAAGCAGATCTATAACCTAGGAAGCAGACCTGTAACCTAGAAGCAGACCTGTAACCTAGAAGCAGACCTGTAACCTAGAAGCAGACCTGTAACCTAGAAGCAGACCTGTAACCTAGAAGCAGATCTTTAACCTAGAAACCAGATCTATAACCTAGAAGCAGACCTGTAACCTAGAAGCAGATCTTTAACCTAGAAACCAGATCTATAACCTAGGAAGCAGATCTATAACCTAGAAGCAGACCTAATCGAGCTTTAAAGGTCCCTGATGTCCATCCACTGTTGGACCAACCAGGATCACTCATTAGTAAAATATCTTCTAGATGCTTTTTCCTTCCCTGGAAGTCTTTTAGGTTTTTATGTGTCTGAAAATATTTAATAGAGATTTGTTGTTATTGTTGTTATTGATTCTTCCTCACTGTGGTTGTTTTTCCATATATTCTGATTATTTCTGGATCCTTTAGAAGTGAATCATTCATTCTCCACTCTTAGGTTGTTCATTCTTCTATAAATTTATTGCTATGACTGGATCTTGGTCTGATATCGTTACTGCTTCAATATGGATATTTGTAACTTTATGTTTATCCCTCCTTAAAAGAAAAAAAGAGATTATTCTGGACCTTCTTCTTCCATGGACCTTTGAAAGAAGCTGTATTCAGGCGCCTTTGGGTGGATTTAACGCCAATCATCTGCTAACTCGCCCAGTTTCTTCCCTGGAAGTTATTCCAGGGAAGAAACTCCAGGCTGGGAAGTTTAGGGCTGCAGAGTTCACTGAGCGTTTGTTCTCGCTGCGCGTTTAAAGAAATCCTCCTCCTCCTGTTTCTTCTTGTTCAGGACCCAGAGGGGAAGCCCAAGAAGGCCAACATCCGTGACAACCATGACGGGACCTACCTGGTGTCCTACGTACCCGACATGACGGGCAGATACACCATCCTGATCAAATATGGAGGCGATGAGATCCCGTATTCGCCGTACCGCATCCGAGCTCTGCCCACCGGAGACGCCAGCAAATGCACCGTCACAGGTGGGACCAGATGGTTTTCTTCTTCTGTGCTCTGAATCAGAAATCATTTCTATTTTAGATTTATTACACATTTTACTGAGAGAAATTCTAACCAAAATGAAAGGACACGCCCCCCCAGTGATTGATCTCCTAATGCAGAAACATACTCGCTAAAAAACGATATGTTTTAATTCCTCCATTAAAAAGCAAATGATGAAAAGTTGAATTTAAATCAAAGAGGAGTTAAAGATGGCGGCCCCAGAAAGGGTCCTTTATTTTGGATTAGCTGCTGGTCGTGTTTCTCCTTCGCTGCGTTTCTCATGTTGCTCAGGTTTGTTGTGTGATGTTCCTCACGCAGTGCTCCTCAGTCGTACACCACCCCCCCCGATGACCCCCCCCACCACCCAGCACCCCCACAGCCCTGTCTGACTCTCTTTTGTTTTTCTTGCTCCCTGCTTCTCACCTTTATCAGTCTCAATCGGCGGTCACGGTTTAGGTAAGCCATCTGAAAACATTTATAAAAGGACAACTGCTCTATTTTTATTAATATCTTCCCTCTTGGCATGGAAAATTAACGGTACCGACCTTTTTAAAAGAATGTCCCATCCTTTGCTTTGTTGTTTTTTTTTTTTAATCTTCCAGCTCATTTTCCTTTTTCATAACTCTTCCTGTCTTTTATGTATTTATTTGGACGGACTAAAGGACTAACAGCGTGGAAAGGACGGCATGGTGGAATGGTTCTTGGGCTAATCTGGTTCTAGTTGGAGACTGAATAGAAACGACTAGCTGGTTCCATCAGACTGGAATAACATGACTTTAACCTCATGGTTGTGGAATGTGCATGCAGCCTGTTTTTAAAGGCAAACCTGCGAAGATATGGAGACCTGAACTTGCCAAAACCAAACATGCTAACAAAAAAAATCACATGTCTTCTGATTGTTAGAAAATCTGATTATATTATTAAATACATTTTTTATTAATTGTTTTTTTTTTCACAACATTTCTTAAAAGCACAATTTTTTTTGTTATGCTAGCTTTTAAAAAAATATATAAATACCTGAGGCTTTGTTTTATTTGATAAAACAAACATATATTTTAATTTAATTGAACTATAGAAATGTATCTGGAAATGTGGAAATGTATGTTGTAATTGCTGAGTTGGATACTTATCTTTTTTACTTCTTATTTATATATATATATATATATATATTTTTTTAAATCTTTTATTTGTTAAGTTAACTAGAGGAAAATTCTTAGGATGCTTAAGTAGATTTTGAGAAAAAAATCCTCCTGAATAGAGGAAATGGGTTCATAGAACTAAAAGGAAATAATTTAAACATAACAATAAAATATAGTTTAGACATTTTTTTTTTGTTGCATTGAAAGACATTCAAAAAAAATGACTTGATCTTGATTTTTGGCATCTTCAGTCTTCCATACTTTCCTCAACGTAAAGCCGTCACAACAAATGACAGTCTGTGTTTTTCTCCCGAAGGCGCCGGCGTTGGTCCAACTATTCAGATCGGTGAACAGACGGTCATTACAGTTGATGCAAAGGCTGCTGGAAAGGGCAAGGTGACGTGCAGCGTGTGCACGCCCGAAGGGGCGGAGCTGGACGTGGACGTGGTGGAAAACGAGGACGGCACGTTTGACATCTTCTACACGGCGCCGCAGCCCGGGGAGTATGTGATATGTGTCCGTTTTGGAGGCGAGCACATTCCCAACAGTCCGTTCCAAGTCACGGTGAGTCCGTCGCTGCAGCCAGACAGCCGCTGCTTGTCTTCATGTCTTTTTTTCCTCTTTGAAGCCGCCTTTAAAGGCCGATAAAGCAGATAAAACCCAAAGTTACCAGAAAATATTATAAAACTTCTCAAACATCTGCATGAATTTAGCATATTTTGACCTTTTCAGCGTGATGCTTCTTTCTGATTTTGCGTGATGATTTTTAAACTCTGGTGTTTAGGGAACCTAAATGATTATAACTGTGTTAAATCCTCCGTCTTCTCTCCTCGCCACCTCCTGACCGTTCCAGGCTCTGGAAGGACCGTCAGACCAGCTCATTCAGCAGGGACAAATGCCCCAGTACTACGCAGCGCAGCCCTGGGTACCTAACCAACCTCCAGCCTTCATGTGTCTCTGGTTCCTTTGTGTTCAGCTTTCCTTTCCCGTCCCGTTGTTGTTCTTCCATATCATTTTCATCATCCCACCATCAGCGCCTTCTGTCTCTCTGGGCGGGTGTTTCCTTCATTTCATATGGCCGCCCACACATGAGCAGTGCGGCTGAGCTGTACGGTGACGTAGAGGAGGTGTACGTTTCCTTCCGTGCAGCTTTAGTGCAGCTCGGTTGTTTTCTGCTTCATGTGGAAATCGCTTGAGCACCCGAAGCGATTTTATGTTTTCTGCTTTTTTTGTTCACATGGTTGTCCTCATCGTCATTTCATTCAGTGTCGTCTCAGCTTTGACTGTTGTGCAGTCGCTTGAAGCACATCCTAAACCCTTTGTTTCTGCTCTGTCTCCTAGGCAACGGACAGACCAGCTGGGATGAACGGCCTGGATGTGGCCGGACTTCGACCTTTTGACCTGGTCATCCCATTCACCATTCAGAAGGGAGAGATCACAGGTAAGGGGTCGGGTTTTAACGCCGTCCTTCCTTCTCACCCTTTCATCACGTCTTTCTGGGGGTTTTTTTAAAGGCGAGGTCCGAATGCCATCAGGCAAAGTGGCAAAGCCCGACATCACCGACAACAAGGACGGCACCGTGACGGTGAAGTACGCCCCAACAGAGGCCGGTCTGCATGAGATGGACATTAAATACGATGGCATCCATATCCCGGGTACATCGAAGCTCTAAACGCCGTTCGGAGAAGGAAGTCCGTTTTCTCACCCATCTGTGTCTCCCTCAACAGGAAGTCCCCTTCAGTTCTTTGTGGACTACATGAACAGCGGGAACGTCAGCGCCTACGGCCCCGGTCTCATCCACGGAACCGTTAACAAGCCGGCCGTCTTTACTGTTGACACTAAAGATGCTGTAGAGGGTGCGCAGAAATCTCTTCCACTGATGAATCCACTTAAATCCAAATTAATGAATGAAATAACTGACTGAGCAAAAGTTGGACCACAGCTTCTCTGCATACAAACTCGGCCAAAAAAATCAGCTTTTGATTGGATTTTTGCAGAGAATAAAACTCTTGGTTTGTGTCGTTGCAGGCGGTCTTTCTCTGGCCATTGAGGGTCCTTCCAAAGCAGACATCAGCTGCGTGGACAACCAGGACGGGACCTGCACCGTGTCCTACCTGCCTGTTCTGCCAGGAGACTACAGCATCCTGGTCAAATATAATGACAAGCACATCCCAGGAAGCCCCTTCTCTGCCAGAATCACCGGTAAGTCTTTAGTTTTCATCTTCAAGCAGCTACCAAGCTAACTACGGCAGTAAAGCTAACTGCCCTGCTGCTGTCATTTAATGAGATCTTTGGCTTCTTTTAGACTTATGACACTAATGTCAAGGAATTCAGGGATTTCCTCTTTATTTTTATCCTAATTCTGTTTTCTTCTTAAGATTTGTAGGTTTTACTAAAACCCTGTAAACCATTTGTGACTGTTTGCATTAATTCAGAAGAGTTTAAAATGTTTACCTTAAAGGGGCTCCCCATCAACATCCATTAGTTCAGACATATAAGGGGGTGAAACGCTGGACTGAATAATAATCATTATCAGGAAAAAAGATAAGCTGTTAACCTATAAAATTAGACCATTTTAGATCCATTTTTGTTTATATATCTGTGGTTCATGGGGGGGCGGGTCTGGAACCCTTCACACCTTCTGTTAGTCTGATGGATAAACCTTATTTACTCCAAATCTATATAGATGTAAAGTGTGTAGATCTGGTGTCCGTTAGCGCTGGGTTGCTGTCTTTGACGTCATCATGTAAGCTTCTGTTACGGTCAGTCTGTAGGATTCTATTCAATTCAATTTTCAATTCAGTTTATTTATGAAGGTAGATTTGTTTCTTTATAGTTCAATAAAAAAAAAACTTTGCTTCAATCAAAAAAAAAGTATTTGAATGCAAAAATATATTTGAGACTCAAAAAAATACATTTGAACACTGCTTTTCTTTAATTGAAAATGTTTTATTTGATAGAAGTCCAGTCTTTTTTGTTTAAAGCAACTTTTTTAATTGAAGTAACATTTTTTTTTATTGGACCATATAATGGGTAGGACATTTGTGTCTTTATTATTTAATCAAAAAAGAAGGAAGAAACCTCCAGCAGAACCAGGCTCAGTGTGAGCAGCCATCTGGTGAGGACGACTGGGGTTCAAGGAGACAGAAGCAGACATAGAAATAGAAGCATAGATACAAAAAGCAACTCTAAAAGGCGGCCCCATCCAGGAAACACACAGCCATGCAGACGAGCTCCGAGCCAGCTCCCATGTCAGAGGATGAAGAGAGCACATCCAGTTAGTCACAGTCAGAGAAACAGGTCTACACTGAAAAACAGGCCAAGCTCCAACATCTAGAAACAAAGGTGTTGATGGCAGCAGCACAGCTGATATTTCTCTCCAGGATGGAGTCACAGCCAAACAGGAACAGACCAGATGAAGCTACTATGAGAAAAAGCAGAGAGAGCAGAACGTTAGAGATTGAACTAACAGATTCTGCAGAGTGGGAGAATAGAGATAGAATGAAGCAGAATGATGGAAAAGGGGTCCCTATGTCCTCCAGCAGTCTAAGCCTATAGCAGCAGAACTATAGAGATAGCTCAGGATAACCTGAGCCACTCTAACTATAAGCTTTGGCTGGATTCCCTCCTTGGACCTTGGGTCCCGTAGAAAAAGGCCCTAATAAGCCCATCAGAGGCAAACTGCTTCTTTATATAAACCAGGACTGTGTGAAGGACTGGAGTCTGATGGGTTTGGCTGGATTGGTTATTTTGCTCCAATGGCCACCAGTTGATCTCAGGACATGAGGACGTTAAGCCAGTCTGTCTTTGCCGTCCCCAGGAGACGACTCCATGAGGATGTCTCATCTGAAGGTGGGTTCAGCGGCCGACATCCCTCTGGATATCGGAGAGCTGGACCTCAGTCAGCTGACTGCCTCCCTCACCACCCCGTCAGGGCGTGAGGAGCCCTGCCTGCTGAAGATCCTGAGGAACGGCCATGTTGGTGAGTCTACGGCGGGTGGGAGCTCAGCCGTTTGGTCGCCTCATCCCTGTTTTTAACCTTTCGCTTCTTGTTTTGGCACACCCTTTCACTCCACCACAGGCGTCTCGTTTGTGCCTAAAGAAATCGGCGAGCACCTGGTGAACATAAAGAAGAACGGGCGCCATATTGCCAGCAGCCCCATCTCGGTGATGATCAGCCAGTCGGAGATCGGAGATGCAAGCCGCGTGCGTGTGAGCGGGCCGGGCCTGAGCGAGGCCAGGACCTTTGAGCCTGCAGAGTTCATCATCGACACTCGTGATGCAGGTAGTGGTTGGGGGGCGTCTCAAATTATCTTTGCTGAGGGAACGGGCTAAACGCTGAGCTCTGGTTGTGCTCAGGATACGGCGGCCTCAGCCTCTCCATCGAAGGACCCAGCAAGGTGGACATAAACACGGAGGACCAGGAGGACGGCACCTGCAAGGTCACCTACTGCCCCACTGAACCAGGAAACTACATCATCAACATCAAATTTGCTGACCAACATGTGCCAGGTGCTCACCATGGAAACGCTGAGGGTTAAAGGTCAGACATGAGCTGCTTTTGGTTCATTCAGACAATCAAACCGTGTCTGTGCAGGGAGCGCCTTCACCGTGAAGGTGACTGGGGAGGGCAGGATGAAGGAGAGCATCACCAGGAAGAAGAGGGCAGCGTCCGTCGCCAACGTCGGTAGCCAGTGTGACCTCAGCCTGAAGATCCCAGGTGACCCAGACAGGAAGTAGCAAAGCGTGTTAGCCCAGAAAGCAGAATGCATCGGAAACGTGACCCCCTCCCCGCTCTGGGTTCCTGTGCTTTCAGAGATCAGCATCGCAGACATGACGGCTCAGGTGACGAGTCCCTCAGGTCAGGTCCACAAAGCCGAGATCATGGAGGGAGAGAACAACACCTACTGCATTCGCTTCGTCCCCACCGAGACCGGCGTGCACACCGTCTGCGTCAAGTACAACGGCGCCCACGTTCCTGGCAGCCCCTTCCAGTTCACCGTCGGGCCCCTGGGCGAGGGCGGGGCCCATAAGGTCCGCGCCGGAGGGCCGGGCTTGGAGAGGGCGGAGGCCGGAGTCCCAGGTTGGTGTGGGGGTGTGTGTGAGCGGGATGTGGATGGTGACGTGACGCTGACTCCTCTCTGCCGCTCGCAGCCGAGTTCAGCATCTGGACCAGAGAGGCTGGAGCTGGGGGCCTCAGCATCGCCGTGGAGGGGCCCAGCAAAGCCGAGATCACCTTCGAGGACCGCAAGGACGGCTCCAGCGGAGTGTCCTACGTTGTGCAGGAGCCTGGTGAGAGGAAGCTAAAGCCGCCATGTTTACCGTGGAGACGGAGCGGTAGGGTTAGCGCTTAGCAGGAGCCGCGGGTGACACCGCACCGACCTTACCCGTTCCTTTGATTTATTATTGGTTTGGTTAATTTAACATTTTGGTAACATTTGAAGTTTTGATTTTTTTTTTTTTTAAACGAAGGAAGAAAAACTGTTTCCTTCCCTAAAGTCTGCAGCACAAATTGGGGATCAGTTGGACTGAAAAAGCCTGATGGGCTGGTCTCCATGGAAACCCAGACTTACTGAAACCAGTTTGATCAGGTTCTGGTTCAAAGCTGAGCAGCTTGTTTCTAGTCAAAGTTGATCTGGAAGAGAAAATGGAAAACAAGGAAAAATCTGAAAGAAATGGAAACTGCAAAGAGTTGAAGCTCTGAACGAATTTAGCGACTTTCTGTTTCTGTCATTCCAGGCGACTACGAGGTGTCCATCCGGTTTAACGACGAGCACATCCCAGACAGCCCCTTCATCGTCCCCGTGGCCTCGCCATCAGATGACGCCCGCCGCCTCACTGTTGCCAGTCTTCAGGTGAGGCTCTGAGACACGCACACATCCCTGTGCATGCGCACCAGGCTGCGGTGCGCCGCCCGCCGTGCAGCAGCAGCCGCCATCAGCTCGGTTCTTCTAAAACCGGAGCGTAAAGCTGCAGACGATGAGGAAACTTTAGCCATTTGGCTCACGGGGCCAATCAGAGGTTCTTCTAGATGCTTTTAGATCAGGGTTAATACGAGAAGCTGCTGCTGTATGGGGGGGGGCGGCGCCGTGGATTCTGGGAACTGGAGGACTGTGTGTGTTTCTCGTGCCTCATTCTAAAGGCTCCCAACAGCCTTTCAGCTGCAGGTCACATCAGGGCGCTAAAGGGTTAAAGAGGTTGGAAAGGGGTCGTTCCTGTCTTCTCTGCCCCCCCCTCATCATCTCCATTCACTTGGTTGCTAATGGCTCATCTTTCCGTTACGGCTTTTAATCCAGGAAACAAACTTCCTTCCTCTCTTTCCACGGCTCGGCCCCCCCCTCTTTAGCCCGTTTAGTGACCCCCCCTCCAGGTAACACCAGGTGTATGTAAGCAGGAGAGCCCCTGCAGGTTGGTCTGAGCAGGTCATCGCTGGGATGGGGACTCAGTGTTAGTGTGTGTGCAGGAGTCGGGTCTGAAGGTCAACCAGCCGGCGTCCTTCGCCGTCAGCCTGAACGGAGCCAAAGGGGTGATCGACGCCAAGGTCCACAGTCCCTCTGGAGCGTTAGAGGAGTGCTGCGTCACCGAGATCGACCAAGGTAGCTGGAGACGGATCCCTGAGGGTAGCGGGATGTGTTCTCGGCGGCTGAGCTCCGTTTTTCCTTCTTCCTTCCAGATAAATACGCAGTGCGGTTCATCCCCAGAGAGAACGGCCTCTACTTGATCGATGTCAAATTCAACGGAAGTCACATTCCAGGAAGTCCGTTTAAAATCCGCGTGGGAGAGACGGGCCAGGCTGGCGACCCGGGGATGGTATCCGCCTACGGACCGGGCCTGGAAGGAGGAACTACAGGTAGAACCGCTCATAAAGGCTGCATAGATAAACTGCTTTGCTTTTAGCTCCCTTTTCAGCAGGAAACCTTCAAAGGTCAGATTTAACTCAGCGGTTTGTCTCTTGGAAGGATTTTTACTCATTTTCCAGAAGCTGCAGTTGGTGTTAAACCTTTGAAGCCACTGAGGTGATAAAGTACTCTGACAAAGAGGCTTTAAAACATTGAAGATAATTTCCCCATTTGCAGCTCAGGGTCTAAGCTCAGGACCTCACTAATGTGGTAAACCACATTATTCTCCCTCCATCTTCCCAATTCCACCTTTTCCCAGTGCAGATTTGGCTGGCTAGTTTCTGCCCCCTGTTGGTCAGTTTATGATCTGCATTTTTTCTTTTTTAATATTCATATATATATATATATGTATATATGTATACATGTATGTGTGTGTGTGTTTTCTGTGTCCATAAAAGCGAGCGTGCATCAGGAAGCAGGGCGGTGTGTGATGCAGCAGCATGGCGGTGATTTTGGTTCCTGAACCAGAGCAGCTAAAACCTGCCAGAGTTTAGAAAGAAACGGCAGCAAAGCTTTCTGCCATTTTCTCCCTAATTGACTCCCTGACTGTTTCCAGGAACTGCATGTGAATTTGTGGTGAACACGAGCACCGCGGGCCCCGGGGCCTTAGCTGTGACCATTGATGGGCCCTCCAAGGTCAAAATGGACTGTGTGGAGTGTCCAGAGGGTTATAGAGTGACATACACTCCTATGGCCCCCGGAAACTATCTCATCTCCATCAAATATGGCGGCCCTTACCACATCGTCGGAAGTCCCTTCAAGGCCAAGATTACAGGTGATGCCGTGTTTTTGTTGCTGATCTGGAATGTTCCAGTTGGACGCGTCCAACCCTGACGTGTTTTCCAGGTTCCAAGCTCGTGGCCAGCCACAGCATGCATGAAACCTCCTCGGTCATGGTGGATCCTGTGACTCGTGCCATCAGCAGCTCCATGCAGGCTGCTCCCGCTCACTCAGACGCCAGCAAGGTGGCGGCTAAAGGCCCGGGGCTAACCAAGGCATTTGTTGGACAGAAGAACAGCTTCTGTGTCGACTGCAGCAAAGCAGGTGTGTCTCTCCGTCCACCATGGACACCCGGTTACAGTTTATCACACATTTATTTATACTTTACATCTGCGCAAAAAAAAATCCTTTCAAAAAGAGTTAAAAAAAAGAGATGCCACACAAAAACCTGGAGGAATGAAAGAAAAGGTAAAATCTCTCTGAACTCATATTTATCGTCTTTTTCTGGCCGATTGATCTTTTAAAAGCCAGAACTAATCATTCCAAGGTCGACTACTTTAATTTCTCTTTAATACTGAGGCTTACTGTAAACCTTAAGAGTTAGGGGGCTGATGTGGGGGTGAGTCATCCTTTAAGGTGATAATGATGATGATCAACCCTCCAAACACTGAAGCTCCAGGCTGATGTTTGCCATCCTCTCACTCTGCAGGGCGTAACATGCTTCTGGTGGGGGTGGACGGTCCCAAAGTGCCCTGTGAGGAGATCCTGGTAAAGCATCAGGGTAACCGGGTGTACAACGTCAGCTACCAGCTGAAGGAGAAGGGAGAGTACATCCTGGTGGTAAAATGGGGCGACGAGCACATCCCGGGTAGCCCCTACCACCTGACCGTCTGAAGACACCAGGAGGGTTCACCACTGTCCGTTTACAGCTCCAAAATCTGCCCAAATTTAGGTCACCATTGAAGCCACGTGAATCCGATTGGTTGTTGTTGTTTACTGGTCAGAACAACGCAGTGAAGGCTTCTTCTTCTGGGGACGCCCCTTTCATTACTGTAAACCGCCAGTCCGCCGTGCCTTAGAGTGTTTATCATTTTCAGCCTTATTTGACATGAAATGCCAGGATGTGGTAGATTTTGGCTCCCAGCTTTAGCTCACTGTTTACACTGGAGGAGTTCTTGCAAACGTAGGAGAAATCGTGGATTTTGGAGCTTCCAGATGATCGATCACAGGATAAAGCTTCATTACTTCTGTCTTTCTTGAATTATGTGTCTTAATAAAAACCCAGCTTGTCCTTTATGCTGTGTTGGAGTTGCTCAGAAAGTTAACTCTCCTTTCAGCTTCTGTTTGATGATGTTTAACCTTTTCAATCTGCTGCTAGTGTGATCCAGTTTTAGCCAGAAACATCCTTACTAATCAAAGGTTGTGCGTATTTCGCTTCCTCTGAACGCTGCTGGAGGATGTGGCTTCTGCTCAGCTCCAGCGTTGGCTCTGCATGTCCTGCAGGAACGCTGACCATCAGCACCTGCTGCGGTTTTCAGCCTGTTGGAGGAAAAATCAACAGGTTCAAAAGGGAAGTTTTCCAACGTGTGCTGAAAGGTTTCCCACGTCACCAATGAGCAGCGGCCTCCCTTCTGCTTCTCACCTCCATTAGACCCTCATTCTTGCTCTGTGCTTCATCTGTGTTTCAAAGCAGAATAAAAAGGCATTTAAAATGATTGTAAGACAGTATTTTGATACACAATAAAGTATTTTTCTCGGTCAAACACATCTGACTTTGATTCCATTTTTTCACTCCGTGGCCAACAGTTTATGGAAAGTTGTTGTTTTCTGCCAACAGGGGGAGCCAGAGATGATGGTTTTCTTTTTTCCAGCTTTTATTGTTATTATTCCACTGTAACAAGTTAAGAGTAACGAAATTAATTTAACTCATCCCCTCGGGGAGCAGTGTGGAGTTAAGGGTCTTGCTCAGGGACCCAGAGTGGCAGGCTCTGGGAGTGGGGCTTCAATGATGTCACCATCCACAGATTCCTGCAGAAAAAGGAGGAATTCTGCCAGAAAGCATAAAATCAGTCTGTTACGGATGCAGCAGAGGATCAGCGTTTCTCAGAGGGGTGTGGAAATAAGGCTAACATGTTAATAACGGATCTTCAGCCTTTATTCTGCTTTCCAGTCCTGATGGGAGAGTTTTTATTTATCACTGATGTCAAGAACAGCTGAATGTTTTTGGTCTGGAGGAGGTCTGTCCCTCATTCTCTAATCAGCCTGCTGTAATAAAACCAGAGCAGAAACACGTAAAATCTAATAACTTTTATTAACAAAGAAAATAGAATTTCTCATATAGAAAAGTAAAGGATTAGTTTTTGCTGTTCAAAGTGTAGGAAATAAATGCTACTTAGATTAAAATAATAAACATTCCTTCCTTAGAAATAATATTTCCTATATTAGCTGTGTCTCAAAGACCGAGCAGTAATTTATTGATTGACTTGAATGAGACGGTGATTGTTGATGAAAACATGGATTAAACATGGCTGATTGTAGCCAAAGGCTTATTTCCATCCCACAGTTAGAAAACATTAAAACATTTATATATTCAGAAAGGGGTAACTTATAAAGGCAGGTTTTCATTGAACCCCAGAGATATGAAAGATGAATTACTCTAAATTTAGATGTGACCAATCAAAAAGCTCGGCTCAATAAACTGGACAGAAGACCAAACATTATAGGAGATTCTGGTTTAACTAACAGACGAGGGAAGAATGGCTGCAATAAAAGAATGGCTGCAATAAAACACTGAAGCCTTCAGTTGTGGTCTACCGTCAGTCTGTAGACTCACTACTAGCCAGGAAGGAAGACTTACGCGACCAATAAAACACTGAAGCCTTCAGCTGTGGTCTACCGTCAGTCTGTAGACTCACCATTAGCCAGGAAGGAAGACTTACGCCACCAATAAAACACTGAAGCCTTCAGCTGTGGTCTACCGTCAGTCTGTAGACTCACTACTAGCCAGGAAGGAAGACTTACGCCACCAATAAAACACTGAAGCCTTCAGCTGTGGTCTACCGTCAGTCTGTAGACTCACTACTAGCCAGGAAGGAAGACTTACGCCACCAATAAAACAATGACGCCTTCAGCTGTGGTCTACCATCAGTCTGTAGACTCACTACCAGCCAGGAAGGAAGACTTACGCCACCAATAAAACACTGAAGCCTTCAGCTGTGGTCTACCGTCAGTCTGTAGACTCACCATTAGCCAGGAAGGAAGACTTACGCCACCAATAAAACACTGAAGCCTTCAGCTGTGGTCTACCGTCAGTCTGTAGACTCACTACTAGCCAGGAAGGAAGACTTACGCCACCAATAAAACACTGAAGCCTTCAGCTGTGGTCTACCGTCAGTCTGTAGACTCACTACTAGCCAGGAAGGAAGACTTACGCCACCAATAAAACAATGACGCCTTCAGCTGTGGTCTACCATCAGTCTGTAGACTCACTACCAGCCAGGAAGGAAGACTAGCGCCACCAATAAATCAATGAAGCCTTCAGCTGTTGTCTACCATCAGTCTGTAGACTCACTACTAGCCAGGAAGGAAGACTAACGCCACCAATAAAACACTGAAGCCTTCAGCTGTGGTCTACCGTCAGTCTGTAGACTCACCATTAGCCAGGAAGGAAGACTAATGGCACCAATAAAACAATGACGCCTTCAGCTGTGGTCTACCGTCAGTCTGTAGACTCACTACTAGCCAGGAAGGAAGACTAACGCCACCTATAAAACACTGAAGCCTTCAGCTGTGGTCTACCGTCAGTCTGTAGACTCACTAACAGCCAGGAAGGAAGACTAACGCCACCAATAAAACAATGACGCTTTCAGCTGTGGTCTACCGTCAGTCTGTAGACTCACTACCAGCCAGGAAGGAAGACTAACGCCCCCAATAAAACACTGAAGCCTTCAGCTGTGGTCTACCGTCAGTCTGTAGACTCACTACCAGCCAGGAAGGAAGACTAGCGCCACCAATAAAACAATGACGCTTTCAGCTGTTGTCTACCGTCAGTCTGTAGACTCACTACTAGCCAGGAAGGAAGACTAACGCCACCAATAAAACAATGACGCCTTCAGCTGTGGTCTACCGTCAGTCTGTAGACTCACTACCAGCCAGGAAGGAAGACTAGCGCCACCAATAAAACAATGAAGCCTTCAGCTGTTGTCTACCGTCAGTCTGTAGACTCACTACCAGCCAGGAAGGAAGACTAACGCCCCCAATAAAACACTGAAGCCTTCAGCTGTGGTTTACCATCAGTCTGTAGACTCACTACCAGCCAGGAAGGAAGAGTAATGCCACCAATAAAACACTGAAGCCTTCAGCTGTGGTCTATTGTCAGTCTGTAGAGCCACTTCCAGCCACTACCAGATGAACAGAGCATCAGAAACGGCCTTTCTACCTTCAAAGAGAAAGAGTTTAAGCTCTGGTCCACCCAGGACAGATGCGGGACGTCCAAATCTGCCTGTTTGTAGCAGCGATAAAGGAGTCAGTGAGCTGCACAGCAACACAACAACAGAATCTTTAAACCTCTGCAGACGTAAACAGTCTGGCAGAGTCATTAGACCAGCCCTAATGCCATATTTACACATTAATATGCAGCTCTGTTTAGTTTTTTCTCTGAAAAGGCTTTGATCTCCCTGGTCGTGTCCCAGCGTTACAGCTGATGACAGATGGATGGACAGAAGCCCCATCGCTTGTCGCTCTGAGGAGAAAAACAGTTGGTAAGTCCGGATCGTCAGCTCTCTGTCAAAGGTCTTTGGAAAGCAGCAGCAAACTGAAAGCAGAATGTATTTTCATTTTGAAGACAGATCATTTTTGGGCTGTGAGCCAACGGATCACTCCTTTCATCTTCCTCCATGACTCACAGAAAAAAAAAACTAAGAACCAGAAAATGAACCTGAGCTGCTTACAGGTAGACATGAAAGTAGGCCTGATGACACCTTCTGCCAGTGCTGCCCTCCAGACCTCCTGGGTTGGTGTGGTCTTCATTACAGGCCTACATGCTGCCTGTAGCTCAGGTTGGCATTGTCAATAAGAACCAGATGTTCACAGCGGCTCTAAAGGATGAATAAAACTGGTATAAAAGCTGCTTTCTGTTGGTTTGGTTGCAGGATCTGCTGAATCCCACTAATACAAGCTTCTTTGCTGTTAGTTTCAGTGGAAAGTCTCCTCTTTAAACGTTCTTCATACCTTTGCTCAGGTAAAGGCTGATTGAATGAGCTGAGGTGATGAAGAGTGCTCTGACCGTTTGATAAAGCAGAGATTCTTCTGTCTCCATCAATAAAACTTCATTCATAAACACGTTTCTGATGCTGTAGGTAGGAAGGGTCTCCTGTAGAGGTCTGTGTTACAGCTGCTCTAAAGACACCCCTGATGGTGTCTAACAGTCTGATGAAGATGATGCTCACTGTCGTCCATCATCTTCTTCATCTCCTGAGGTTCTGGAGGAGTTCCTAGAACAGAGCCAGCCTTCTTTATCTGCTGGTGGGTCATTAGTTCTGATGATGATGATGATGATGATAATGATGGTATGAAGGTGACGATGATGACGATGCAATGATGACAATGATGATCATGACGATGAAGGTGAAGATGATAATGAAGGTGACGATGATGATGATGATGACGTTAAAGGTGAAGATGATGATGAAGGTGACGATGATGATGATGATGACAGTGAAGGTGAAGATGATGATGAAGGTGACAATGAGGATGATGATGATGATGCAATGATGACGACAATGATGATGATGATGATGATGAAGGTGATGATGATGATGATGATGATGATGATGATGATGATGATGATGAATGTGAAGATTATGATAGTGATGATGATGACTATGATAATGACGATGATAATAAAGGTCACAATGATGCTGAAGATGATGATGACGATGATGATGAAGATGATGACGATGATGAAGGTGACGATGATGATGATGATGACGATGATAATAAAGGTCACAATGATGCTGAAGATGATGATGACGATGATGATGAAGATGATGACGATGATGAAGGTGACGATGATGATGATAATGACGATGATAATAAAGGTCACAATGATGCTGAAGATGATGATGACGATGATGATGATGATGACAGTGAAGGTGAAGATGATGATGAAGGTGACAATGATGATGATGATGACAGTGAAGGTGAAGATGATGATGAAGGTGACAATGAGGATGATGATGATGATGCAATGATGACGACAATGATGATGATGATGATGATGAAGGTGATGATGATGATGATGATGATGATGATGATGAATGTGAAGATTATGATAGTGATGATGATGACTATGATAATGACGATGATAATAAAGGTCACAATGATGCTGAAGATGATGATGACGATGATGATGAAGATGATGACGATGATGAAGGTGACGATGATGATGATGATGACGATGAAGGTGAAGATGATGATGAAGGTGACGATGATGATGATGATGATGCAATGATGACGACAATGATGATGATAATGATGATGATGATGATGAAGGTGATGATGATGATGATGATGAATGTGAAGATTGTGATAGTGATGATGACGACTATGATGATGACGATGATGACGATGATGATGGTGATGATGATGATGATCATGATGATGATGATGATGATGATAACGATGATGATGGTGATGATGATGATGATGATGATAACGATGATGATGAAGATGATGATGATGGTGATGAAGATGATGACGATAATAAAGGTTATAATTATGCTGAAGATGATGATGAAGATGATGATGATGATGATGACGATGATGACGATGATGATGATGGTGATAATGATGATGATGATGAAGATGATGACGATGATGATGGTGATTATGATGATGAAGATGATGATGATAATAAAGGTTAAAATGATGCTGAAGATGATGATGATGATGATGATGATCACGATGATGATGACGATGATGATAACGATGATGATGAAGATGATAATAAAGGTTACAATGACGCTGAAGATGATGATGAAGATGATGATGGTGATAATGACGATGATGATAACGATGATGATGCAGATGATGATGATGATGATAATAAAGGTTACAATGACGCTGAAGATGATGATGAAGATGATGATGGTGATAATGACGATGATGATAACGATGATGATGAAGATGATGATGATAATAAAGGTTACAATGATGCTGAAGATGGTGATGATGATGATGGTGATAATGACGATGATGATAATGATGACAATGATGATGACGATGATGATGAAGGTGATAATGACAATGATGGTGATCATGGCGATGATGATGATGGTGATGATGATGACGGCACATTAAACATGCAGAGAGCTAACAATCTATTTTATCCAGGTGTTTATAATCTAATTATGACCACAGACGGCTGCTTTCATCACTACTGTTTAGTGAACCTGGGCTCCATGGCAACACATAATTACAGCTTTGCCATCAAGCTTGAACAAAGGTTAAAAAACAGCCGCGCTCCTGATCATCTAAACCTAAATAGCATTTTATGTTAGCCTCTATAATGAAGATAAAAATAAATAAATGAGGAGAGAAGAAATAATGATGTGAACCTTCTTTCTCAGACACTCGCCTTTTATTCTGCTGAATAAACACATTATTAACAGAAGTGGAAGGTTTTCCAGAATCCGTCCTAATTGTATTTAAAACATTAATTTGATTTCATAAGGAGACCCCTTTACTGTGATGTTTATTTTATTTTATTTTTTTTTATTACAACTCACCTGATATTATAAGCATTGGGATTTAATTATGCATTCCTCTATATTTGTTGATAATAAAACAATGAAAAAAAAAAAGAAAAGTTTAAGAGGATAAGCGAGGAGCTGCTCTCAGATAAGACCTGCTGGTCTCTGAAGCTGCACATTTGATGGATGTGTGACTGAGTCCTGCCAGCAGATGGCGACAGAGTAAAAAACAAAAAACAAAGCCTGTGTGTAAAAATACAAACCAGGTTAAAGAAAACCAAGTAAACAAAACCAGGATGAATGCTTGGCAGGTTTTTCTTTGCTTTAACACAAATATTTGTTTGTTTGTTTATTTTAGTGCATAACTTTAGAGGGAGACATTTTTAGACTCTATATAAATTTATTTTTCTAAATTATAAACATAAACTGATCTGTTTATGCTGCTGAGTGGCCAGGATGTGGCTGGTAGGTGTGAAAACTTTCTCATATTGTTTGCATTTGTTTGCTGCTGTTCAGATATCAACACAAAGTAAATGTTGTTCTGTTGATGAAAATATGTTTAAAGGATCTTTTCCTTTAGGGTCAGTCCTGGAAGCAGCGCCCAGCTGCCTGAAGATCAGCAATCAGTTGAAGCTGCGCTGTGAGTGTTGCTTTGTAGACAGTGCATTAAAAAGCTGCCAGCTGTTTCATTATTTCTAACACTCCAACTTTTTTATTTTTTTTTTTATTAGCAGTAGGTGAAGCAGTAGATTTCCTGGTAAATCAAATTGCTGATATGTAGAAAAATCAATTTAAACATGACCATTAATCTATTAGTGGATCAAATCTTTACACTGAATTAATCTTCAATATGTTGAATAGGAAATTACTTAAAGACATGTTAAAACCAGAAGGAACATCTTTAAGTTTAGACACTAAGATAATATTCTGTGGAGGAAAATGTGTTTATTTTTTTATCACCCAATATCTGCTGTACTGAGTGAAACCTAATGGTCTGCCTGTTGAGCACCTGGGAAGGCAGACAGTGTTAAAGCAGATGTGCAGTCGATAAAAGAAGCCGTCCTTTATGGTGTTGATGAAAATGAATCCCCAGCAGCTGCTGTCTGTGTTGTTTTCAGCGTTCCTCCTGCTGTCCTGAGGAGCAGAGTTCTGCTGCATGAAGTGGAGCAACATGAGCGAGTTGATCTGTGAGGGCCTGCTGTTTCATAACCTCCCTCCCTTTAAAGGAGAAAACCTTTCAACTCTAATCTGTCCTCCTCCCACAGAGTCCACCTTGGAAAGGAGGCGTCAGGCAGAAGGAGGAGCAGAGGGAGAGCAGAAGGGAGGCGGTGGGCGGCCGTCCCTGCTTTGCTGCTGCTGCTGCTGCTGACGGCTGGAGGCTACTACACCCTCAGCACCGCCATGTGACGTCTAGTCTGCTGTTTTATTGATTTCAATGATATTCTACATCATCCGTTGAATGAAGATTACAAACCTCATGGTGTAGGGGGTGTACTTTTAAAATGTATTAAAAAGTATTTTGTACAATTTCTTAAGAATATTTTTGGAAATGATTTTGCCCTTGTATTTGGATTTTTATTTAATTATTTTGAGGCCTACCAACACAAGTTCATGGAAGTTAGGTTGTCATGGCAACGTCAAGCAAGCTAGAGGCTGCCGAGTAAAGATGCATCCCGCTGGCGGCAGCAGATAGTCTAATGACAGAAAGGAGGAAATGTGTCACAGAAACGCATTTTGTATTCATGAGAGACTTTATCTCCAGTGAACATCTGTAAAAATCTGTCTGTGGTTCCGTTGAACAAGCTTTATTTAACACCGTTTCTGTGAAAAGTCATGAAGCTGCTATGAAAGCTGCTGAACCTCTGCTGCTGTGTTTATGTTCCTGATCTGTGGTCTGCAGTCAGACATGGCTGCTTATTCTCCTGCTTCCTCCGGAAATAACCGATCAAGGCTCATCTTCTTATTCTAGGCGTGTAACTGCACGCTTTGATTTTTGTTGACAACAACTATGCGTCGCTTAACATACGTCACGCACTCCGTTGCTCTTATTGGTTGTAGATCTATCCAATTGAGTGCAGAGGCATTTTTTTTCCTGATTCATTCGAAACACGCCCCATAATCACAGCTCTATGGAGCAGCATCAGACTCATTCTGACTAGAATTGAGTAGGACTACGTCAGGCTAGCCTGAGGCTTCTTTGGGACTGGAATAATGGAGGCAGACTTGAAGCAGGCTGGCACTATGGATTGGTCCAGCCATTTGTTAAAGATGTCTGTGAGGACACCAGCCAGCTGATCTGCACACTCCTTATACACCTGCCCAGGTATGTTATCAGGCCCTGGGGCCTTCCTTGGATTGACTCTCCTCCGAGTTTTCCTCACGTCAGCTAAGTCCAGGTTTAGTGGCTCCTCCCCCTGGTGTGGAAAGGCTTTCACTGCAGGAAGTCTGCATCAGCTGCATCTACGGGGGTGGGGGTGGGGGGGTTGATTTATCCAATAGAAAATGAGCTGAAAAGACTGATGGGGAATAAAATTTTGGTTTCTATTGTTTGTTAATTTTTTCATACAGAGTCCCTAAATCTAGATTAGTTTGTTTGATTTAAATCAGAACGAGTCCTTCCTTTGATTTTTTGTGACAACGAACGACTAAAAGTTGTTTTTTATTTTAAGATAAAGATAAAATGACTGTAAAACATGTTTAAAAGGAAAGTTTATTTAAGATTACAAAGTATGTTTAGAATGAAAATGACTATATACAGAAATATTTCTATTTAAAATAAAGAACTTGTAAATAATGATGTGAAAAGTCTGCAGGGTCCTAAAGCATCCCGGTTTTGTTGAGATCGATGGGCAGCGGAGGCAACTGTGGCTCTATGGGTAAGACAGGTGCTGCACTGCAGAGGGAAGCAAGGAAACACAGACTGGTTTAGCATGCCAGCATGGGGGGGGTGGGGGTTTGGGGTGAGGCCTACCTGACTGTGTGACCCTGGAAACCCAGCGCTGTGATGAAGATGTTGATAAGAACTGTGAAGAAGACAAACACGGTGGCGGCGTTGTTCATCCGCTCCAGTTTGGCGTGTTTCCGTCTGTCGTTCAGATCATACTTCACTGCTAGGACAAATCAGAAAAAAAATAAATAAACTCAGTAAAACTGGAACAATTAACCAGAATCCTGCATCAGATTCAACTAAACAGACATAAAATCCAGAGCAGCTCAGAAATTATTCACTTTTATTACCATGAGGAACTTTTTGTAGAAAATAAATCACCTTTTTCAGTTTTTCTGTGATGAATTTCTACTTTAACATGATTATTATGAGAAACAGTTTTCATGTTTTTGCTCTAAAACACTAAACAAAGATCATGAATAAAACACATGATACTGATGTAGTTTCTCTTCATCCGGTTATAAACAGCAGCTCCTTAATTCAGATTAACAGATCAGCACCACCTGCTGCAAACACTGGAGGTTTAAGCTGAAAATTCAATTCAATTCAATTCAGTTTATTTATATAGCGCCAAATTCACAACACATGTCATCTCAAGGCACTTTACAGTTCAACCAGATCATACAGTCAAATTGATACAAAGTTTTCTATCTAAGGAAAACCAGTTGATTGCATTGACTCATTGACTCAAATACAATCCCTCACACTAAGCATGCTTGTAGCGACAGTGGAGAGGAAAAACTCCCTTTTAACAGGAAGAAACCTGTTAAAAGGGAGAAAAGGGCTTTGTTCTGCCTGAAACCAATGAGAGCTTAGAAAAGTCAAACACTGAAATTAGTGGAATAAAGGTTCCAACCACCGGGAGCAGGAACAAATCAAATCAAATGTAATGATAGAAACCTTAGTCAGTTAAATAACCTGCTGCTGTCATTCTGCACATCTCTGATGTTGCTGCTATTTTCAAATATCCATTACTGTAAAAATGTCCATAGCTGCATATTGGTTATTTATTCTCCAGTTTTATATTGTTAAAACACTTTACAGAATTGTATTGTTTATATTTCAACTCTTCCCTATTATGTTATTCTTATACATTTTTCTAAGGTCCACGTTTGTGTGACCATTTTCAATAATCTTTCTGCTGCTGTAAATTTGCCCATTGCGGGACAATAAAGGGATTTTCTATTCTATAAAAGGGGTAGAAATATATAAGTGTTATGGTTCTTATTTGTTGTGACTCTGAGTTTTCAGTTTTCTGTTATCAGTTGTTTTGTTTTTATTTTCCATGATCTTCAAGCATTCTTTAGTTACTCTCTGTTGCCCCCTTGTGATTGTTTTCTTTCCCCTTGGATTCCCTCTTGCCAGTTCCACCTACACCTGCTCCCCATTCAGCTCGTTAGTCCATCCTTTTGTTTGGTTCTCCTTAAATACTCCACCTCTGCAGTCACTCAGTGCTGGTTCCTTCTTGTTGCTGTATAATCTACTCTGCTCGTCTCTCCTCGGTTCCTCAGATTCGTTTCTCCCCTGATGTCTCCATGATTTTGGTTTGTTTTATATTTTAAGTTGGATTTCTGCCTCTGCTGCTATTTGGTCTGCTATTAAACCTCTCAGAACTCATCTCTGCTTCACTTGTCTCTGCATCTGGGTCCTCAAGCAACCTCACCACCCATTGTTGACAATAAGTAAATCTAAACAATGTATGTATAAAAATATATCTGCAAAATCTCTAATATTCAACAACAAAAAATACTTAGTTAAGCATATTGTGCAAAACAGCAATAAAAAAATTAAACTCCTATCAAATTTATAGTCCTCAGCCTGCAGATCTATTAGAATCTGTCCTTAAATTACAGCCAAACCCATTTACACAGTAACAGATAAAAACCTTTAGATAAATCAAACATTACCGCCACATATCTGAGTCAATAACCATTAAAACAACTATTTTCATTAATTTCAAACGGAACTATTCACTGACTTGTATTATATTAAACTGAACTTCCAATTTTCACCACTGTTCGGCGCCAAGTAACCTTTCCTCTGATCACGGCTTGCTTGGCCTAGCAATGAATCCTGGGTAAACCAAGGATACGTCGGACCCGTCCTTCAAATCGGGCAAAAAGAAGGACGCATTTTAAGGCCGCATAACAAGGAGTCTTGGAATCCGGCCAGACGTAATCGTCCTTCGAATCTGGCCTTCTAAGGACGCGTCCTAGGTTTTCGAACAGAGCATAAATCTACTGAAAAAGAAAAAAAAAACATGCTTCTATTTTATCCTACAGCTTTTTTTCAATAAGAAAGGTATTTCAGAGTAAATGTTATCCTTTAAATTTCGAATGAAGTTTGTGAAAAAGTCCCTCTTCTCTGCTACCAGCCTCTAGGTGTTCACTTAGTTCTGGAATCTGAAGGGTTAATGCCTGAACGCCAACAGGAAGTCCTCCTCTGACCTTTCTGAGTCCAGCAGCTGGAGTTCATGGTGCAGAAAACCAAGATAGTTTAAGAAAACAGTCACATGATCTGCAGGTTTATTATCGGTTAAACGTGACGTTAATGAAAGAACGATTCAAAAAGGCTGATTACTCGTTTAAAACCTAAAATAATCTCCTCCATCCATTAATCCAGCGACTGAACACTGACTGCAGCCTTTCTCTGTTTCTGTCCTGGACAGAGAAGTTGCTGCTGCTTCACCTGCTCACCATCTCATCGATCGTTTTACTGATGCAGAGCTCAATTGTTCCTGCCTTCATTCATCTTGACTTTATGGTCAGCGTAGATCTAGATTGTCAGATTTTGTTTCAGTCCAAGCTGATCGATGTTCACATTTCACCATTTGCTCGTTGAGGAGGAGGAATTTCTGTAATTTTCACCAGCAAAGTGACTTCCAGCCATCAGCATTTCCTATACGGTTTGATTGAACTAAATTTGTACATAATTTATGGAAATAAACAGAATCTATTTCTGCTGAATATAAGCAAATGATCTGAATCTTTGTTTTTTATAATGGAACCGCCAAGATTTTTACACATTAGTTAACATGTTTTTTATCCGTGTATTGTGTTTGTTCTGATTTCCAGATGATTGGTGAACGATTTCCTTCCATAAAGTGAGTCGTTTTAAAGAACCGTCCCATTTTATCCTTCGCATTTTAAAGCCTAAAAACAGAGAAACACCCAGACTGTGGATTCCAGGTAATAGGAAAGACGTTGGATGTTGGAGGAGCTTCTTTCTCCTTCTAACAGTTAAGTCTTGGTTTGGGAGACTTCTGATTTTTATCCGTCATTGGGTCGTTCTGTGATCCACACTTTCTTCTTTGGTGCAACGAGTAATGTTAGAATAATTGTATATAAGTGTATCTGTGTAGTGTTATCATGCATAAAGCTGTGTGCTATGTGCATGTGTTTATAGCCATCTTTTCTGAAGTATACAGTGTAGTCTCAGCTGTTGTAACAAGGGACCCCTGATTTCAATAAATAGCGAGGAGAACACTGGGACTGCAGAGTGGGTTGGAGATTTGTAAACTCCGCAGTCTCTTCCTACTCTCCTCGCGAGTAAACTAAATTAATTGTCTCTGTACCTTCTTTCCTTTCCTGTATGTCTGTATGATGTTTTAGGTGCTTAGACCTGACTAGTAATGATGGTGAAAAGTGAAAACATGGAGTGACTTGCCAATAAAGACGAGCAGCAGTCCAACGATGACCTGCAGCGTGATGGAGAGAGCGAGCAGGACAATGAGAGGGATGTAGAAGCGGTACCCTGGGCCCACATACAGGATGGTCTTCAGCTGCGAGGAGTTGGCCATCAGCAGAGCCACGTCCAGCATACTCTGAGCTGCACTTTTCTTAGTGGCGTAGTGATTCATGTCTATTTGGCCAAACTTTTTAGCAGGATTAACCTGGGGAGCAAAGTTAATAATATCACTTACAGGAGGAGATGTTGACTACAGGTCTGTCTGTGGGTGTGGGTGTCCGTGGGAAGAATTGTGGGAGTGGCGCTGCGACATGTGATGACTCACCTGAGCTATGAAGCACATTAAACAACAAGACTCAACAGGTGCCATGTTCCCGTTCACACTCAGACCTCGTCTATTTTCATGAGCAGGAACATGCCTGAGCTGTAAGACGCTGATCTGATCTGACCTACAAACCAGGAGCAGCTGGAACCTGAGCAGAAGCTTCACAGCCGTCCAATCCAGAGCGTTCAACCTGTCCGGCTGCTTCATCTGCCTTCAGTGGAAAGTTACGCAGAAGAAAGGATGAAGGCATTTCCAAAGCTTAGCCCAGTCATGTCACAGCTGGCTGAAACGTCACACCTTTGGGTGCCGCTCTCACTCATCTTAAACCTTTGATTCACCTCAAAACAACCACTTTCATAAAGATCTACTGTTATTCTGGTAGAAACAGGGAGATGGATCAATTTAGAAAAATATGGGGAGCAGTTAAAAAAACAGCCAACAAGCTTCCCTGATTTTACAGTTTTTGGTCAAAGGAAAAAGTTTGATCCTTTAAAAAGAAAAGATCCAAACATTTATGATTTAAAGCTTCATCTTCCAGGTTTATGGGGAATATTTACTGGAAATGACTCAGTAATCAACTGCAGCGTCTTCTTCTGATGGAGGTAAAATGACAAAGTTATATTAAAGGTGAGCTTACCTCTTCCTCCATTTTCCTGAGGGATAACTCCTCTCCATTCATCCTTTGCTCCACGGCGTTCTGAGCTGCTGGAACACAGAAACCTCCAGATTAAAACCAACAGGTCTGGCGACTCTCCTTGTTTCAGCAACATTTACTGGCTCCGCCCACCTCCTTCAGTCATGAAGGAAAAGGAAGGGTCCCAGTAGAAGGCTGCTGCTGCTGCTTCATTCAGCTATAATGGCCTCTACAGTTCTATTCAGTTTATTTCTATAGCGTCAATTCACATCATGTCATCTCGGGTCACTTTATAGATCCAGATCAACCAGATCATCCAGTCAGATTGGTTCAAAGTTTTCTATCTAAGGAAAACCAGTTGATTGCATCGACTCATTGACTCTTCAGCAATCCCTCACACTAAGCATGCTTGTAGCGACAGTGGAGAGGAAAAACTCCCTTTGAACAGGAAGAAACCTCCATTAGAACCAGGCTCAGTGTGAGCGGCCATCTGCTGAGGCCCACTGGGGTTCAAGGAGACAGAAGCAGACATAGAAAAAGAAGCAGAGACACAAAAAGCAGCTGTAAAAGGCGGCCCTGTCCAGGAAACACAGCCAGGCAGACGAGCTCCGAGCCAGCTCCCATGTCAGAGGATGAGGAGAGCACATCCAGTTAGTCACAGTCAGAGAAACAGGACTACACTGGAAAACAGGCCAAGCTCCAACATCTAGAAACAAAGGTGTTGATGGCAGCAGCACAGCTGATATTTCTCTCCAGGATGGAGTCACAGCCAAACAGGAACAGACCAGATGAAGCTACTATGAGAAAAAGCAGAGAGAGCAGAACGTTAGAGATTGAACTAATAGATTCTGCAGAGTGGGAGAATAGAGATAGAATGAAGCAGAATGATGAAAAAGGGGTCCCTATGTCCTCCAGCAGTCTAAGCCTATAGCAGCAGAACTATAGAGATAGCTCAGGATAACCTGAGCCACTCTAACTAGAAGCTTTATCAAAAAGGAAAGTTTTAAGCCTAGCCTTAAAAGTCCCACTCATCCCATCATCCCCTCTGCCCATCAGCCATTCCAGGTGGATACTGAGGGATTTAATCTGGAATATGCCAGCTTATAAAAACTGTTCTCCTTTAAAATGGATCTTCAAAGAGGAAATCAACTGATTGATTGGATTTAACGACCATCACATCAGTCCCTCTGCAAAGTATTGGTGAGCAGTTGGCGCCTTCACTACTGGCCTAAAATCAGTCAGACACACTAACCTGTAATTCACAACCTAAATGTTAAGTTACTTCTTTCCAAATGTATTAATTTATTCCAAACAATCCATTCTTGTAATTTTATAGTGTTTCTATTGGCTGCACTGCTTCCATCACATTTATGCGGTTGCTATTTCTTTTGACCAATCAGATTTCAGCCTCCGTGTGTTGCTATGTCAAGTCAAATCTGCAAAGGGCCTTCGGAGTCAGCAGTGCAGCTGATGTTACCTTAAAGAGGAGGATCATTTATTTCGGGGTGGATCATCTCAATCAGTGGTCCTCCTAACTGTCAATCATTCTAGTGAGACGTTTACATATGGCCTTAAGAGCTCATTCCATTAGCTATAATCTATCTATCTATCTATCTATCTATCTAGTAGGGCTGCAACTAATTTTTATTTTGCAAATCGAATAATCTGTCGATTACTTTTTTTGATTAATAATCAGATAGCCAAAGTTTCCTTAAACAATCATTTATCTTAAATGCAAAATGTTTACATATTATTTTCCATTTTAGGTGTAATTCCTGCTCTAAGTGGATCATTTTGTCAGCTAAAGGCAGGTTTAGAGTTTATTTCGTTGCTCTTTATTGTAACATTAGAAGGACAATAAAATCTCTATAGCTGAGATCAGTCAGTGCGGGATGGTTTATTGATAAATAATAAAATTATCCAATTTATTGTCCTAAGAACAGAAGAAATAACAGCAGTTGCTTCCCTCCAGGCCAGCAGGTGGCGGTAATCAGTTTATTGGTTCGCTGCCAGCAGCCAATAACTTCCGCTGTTCTTGATCTCAGCCTGTCCAAGATGGCGCTCCGCTGCGTCCTCCGGGGCTTCGCCTCCTCCTCCAGGCCGTTCGGCTCCGTCCTCCGGGACTTGGCCTCCTCCTCCAGGCAGCTCACAGGAGCTCCTCTACTCTCCAGCCGGACTCCGGCCGCCGGCCTCCGGCCAGCATCCACCGCCGCTCCCCGAGGCGAACAGGGGGCCGTCGTGGAGTCCACGGAGGAATACCGGTTCGTGGAGCGGCTCATACCTCCGACACGGATACCCGATCCGCCTAAACACGTCGGAGCCGCGCCGTCCGGCTGGATCCCCCCGGCTGAATCGCCGCCTCCTCTCCCCTACATGGTCCGCCGCTCCCGGATGCATAACATCCCGGTTTACAGCGAGCTGACCCACGGGAACCGCAAGATGACGCTGCTACGGAAGGTGGAGGGGGACATCTGGGCCCTGGAGAAGGACGTGAGGGAACACCTGAAAGGCGTGACGGGGAAGGAGCTGCCCACTCAGGTCAACGAGGTGACCATGACACTGAAGGTCAAAGGTCACTATGAGCAGGAGCTGAAGGACTGGCTGCTCAGCAGAGGCTTCTGATTGGACAGGAGGCAGACACCTGCTCACCACTGTTCACTATTGGTCACCATTTAAAGCTCCACAAACTGCTGAGGAACATTTTCTATCCTAGATTTAAAGGATTGTTGCTTCACTTTGAACATATTTTTTGTTAAACTCTGAGCATCAAACATGTTTGAATAAAGTGGTTAAAGTCCCACAATGTTCAGGACTTTACTTTTTCGATCGATTAAAAACATTTAGATTCCTCATTCCATACAAATATGAGGCGATATGAACACCAATCATAGATCCTTTAATGGCAGCACTGAGTCCGATCAATAACGGGAGCCATTGATGATTAACCTGCAGATGAAAAGACAGGATCTTCATCAGCGTGATGATGTCACAGCTTAGATATTTGATCAGGAAATCCTCATTTCTAATGTTTCTGGCAGCAGCTTATCTGAAATCCTGCAGTTCATTCATCCGTCAATCTAAATGCATCCAAACACGTTTATACTCTTTATTTCAAACACAAAAATAATAGAAATTACAGTTCAGAGTGTAATACATAGTTTAGTTAAACTTTGTTTTAATCTTTAGGATCTAAGGTTTAGTGAAAGTCTTGATGTTTTTCTTATTGTTCAGTAATTAATGCTTCCAGAAATGAGCTGATGAAGGAATGTTGGATCATTTCCATCCCGTTGGAGCAGAAAAGACTTTCTGTATGTAGAAAAGCTGTTTGATGAGTCAGCAGTTTATGGTGACGACCTGATTGGTCGAGTGATCAGCTGCTGGACGAGGGCTTCTTTAGCTTAATGAGTTCAACCACTGTTCTGGAAGCTTCTGCAGCAGCGCCGCCATCATCCCCTCAGCGGTTTCATCGGTGAACGGCGATGACGTCACCGCGTGTCCAGCTGGGAGGCGATGTTCCCGATTCGCCGGGTTATTTCCTCCAACTGATTGGCTGAGGAAGAGGAGGAAAAAGGGGAGGAGATTTGAACCACAGACAGACGGAGATGGAAGCAGATGGTTTAGTTGTTGACGTACGCAGCGTGTGCTTCTGTCCTCTGCTCCAGTAGCGAGCTTCAGTCTGTAGACGTTTCACCTCTTCGCTCACAGACTCAGAGGCTGCTGATGTTTCCTTCTGCATCTCCAGCTCCTAACCGATCACACGCAGGTTTAAAAGTCAGGCTTTCTGTGCTTTTGGGTCAGAACTAACAAATGCTGAAAGCAGTTTGGAATAATTTCTGGGTTTAATAATTTTAAGCAGATTTAAAAAGCAGGGAGTACCGTGTTGCAGACCATCAGCTTCTGGTGAACCCTCTGGAAGATGTCCGACTCTGAGCTGAAACTGGGCAGATCTCGGCCGCAGTAGACCCCGAGATCCGCCTCGTAAAGATGACCGAAGGTCATCATCTGCTGGTGCAGGTCGCCTGCTGCTAGCCGCAGCGAGCTCGGGGAGAAAGTCGGGTTTTTCTCCTCGGCGTTCAGGAAGTCACACTGAGGATGACATACGGATCTACGATCAGCTCGGCTCCTCGATTGTCTTTGCATAAAAAAAAAAAAATCAATCTTTAACAGGTTTATACAGGAATGACTAACTCTAATTTAATGCTTTTATTGCTCTTAGAAATAATTTGAATGTCATCAATAAGTGAATTTTTACCACTTGCCCTACGGACAAGTGACTTTTAAATTTCATTTGCCCAGAAACAGTTTTTACTTGCCCAGTATAATGTTTGATAAATATAGTCCCTAATATTAATTTTTGTATATATATCAATGAAACATGTTTGTTTTTTTTTAAGTTTTTTGTAATTCAGTATTTATTAAGTTTCCAGGTTCCTGGTGTGTATCTGCATGCGTCAGATAATGAACTCCAGCCTACATTACCGTGTTAACATGCTTTTCAATCCTTCCTGCACATTCTTTTCAAACTAAACTTTGCTTTAAACTGTTGTGTGCTTGGAAAAATATAAATTGTAACGTTAAAAATCTAAAAACTGCACTTGCCCGGCGGGCAAATGAAATGAAATTTGTACTCTCCCAACAATAAAAACGACTTGCCCCGGGAGATCGGGCGATGGTTAACATCGAGCCCTGATATATATAAAACACAGCAAAGTCCTTGGTCATCTTTAGCGTCGACAGGCTGCATCCATGTCCAGAATTTCTCGTTTTTCAGCCACTTTTTTCGGAATTCGCATTTTCCCATTCTCTACATTTTTTTCCCGCCTTGTGCTTCTTTCCGAACATACGGCTTTAGGATAAACCGGAAGCAGTTCCACTCAGATCCATTGAAACTGCTTCAGGAACCAGTTACATCTGATTTATCTGATGAAATTGTTTTTAGAAACGTTTGTTTTTTAATAAAACATTTTAAATGCCATGATAATCACATTTTATGAATTTTAATGTCAATTAAGGCTTAATTAAAAAAATAATAATTTAATGATTTTTAATGACCTGCGGATATCCTTTTCAACCTGAGGAAGAGATTCACAGTTCAGGACTCAAAGCAGAACCTGGTTTTAAAAAGGAGCTAAAAACCAAACTGCTGCCTGATCTGGATTTAAATATGAAGAAATCTTTAATCTGTTAAACTCTTTAATCTTTTAAACGCTTTAATCTGTTAAACGGTTTAATCTGTTGAACGTTTCAGTATTTTGATTGTTAAATGTTACATCCAAGCGGACTGACTGCAGGAAGGACCCACCTTAGACTGCAGCAGCTCCAGTTCTGCCTGAGTGGACTGCAGCAGCTCAGAGACGCCTGGAAGCTCTCCTCTCGGCGATTCAGGAACTTCCTGCAAAGTTCTGCGATACGAGGAACCAGAAGCAGGAGGAGAAAGTTTTAGACAGCCTCATTTAACGGTGGGATAAACATTGCCTTCACACCAACTAATAGAACCAGGTTGAGTTTTTGAATGAGGAGCTGTGCAGCAATGAGGGCAGTGATTGAGAAAGGTTCTGGTTCAGAATGAAGCAGATTGAGTAAAACAATGAGCTGCCTGGTGATTCAGTATTATGTGGAAGCATATTTAAACTGCCATTTTAAAGCCATCTGTGCCGTTTGGCTTCGTTGTCTCTTCTGGTGTCTTTGCTGCATAAACAGCAGCAGCAGCTCTGAGGTTTTCCTTTTATTTTGGTCGTTAAATCCACATCAGCTGATGAGGAGAGCAAACGTACTCGATGTGTGCCGGCCAGGGGTCCAACGACGGCTGCAGCATCTGTCTGAGGCGCAGGGCGTTCTCAGCAGAAAAGAGCTCACTGAGAAGCGGCTCCACGTCGCCGCCGGGAGCCGCAGACGTCTTCCGACCGGGAATAAAAGACAGCAGCTGCTCCAGGAAGTGAAGCTGTCGCTGAGGGCTGGTCTGACCCTGGAAGAAACGCAGCCGTTCAGTTGAGACCCTCAGCATGAAGTCAGAGCAGGCCGAGCGCTAGAATCTCACCCTGATCAGATCCAGCTCGTCTGCTCTGCACAGCAGCAGCTCCTGGCCCATCGCAGCCATTCCTGCTCGCAGCAAAGCAAAAACAAAAAGCAGCGCCGATAAAAAGCCTGAAAGCTCAGAATCCATTTCCTCTTATGGACAAACTTACTTTTCTCTAAACTGTGGGGATCTTTTGACTCCGCTGACGATGCTTTGGTCGCTGCAAACTTTGGGCTGACTCTGAAAAGTGACGGTTTATAATAAGGCAGAGGAATTTCCATGTTTTATTTAAAGCAGCAATGAGTGGTACTGGAGCTGAGGGAGGAGGAACGCACCTGCAGCAGATCCATGCCAGGATGTCGGTGCGCAGGATGGACGGGCTGCACAGCATCTCCAGCTTGCTCTCCTCCTCCTGCAGGTACAGATCTTCCACCAACGGACACGACACAGCCTGAAAAACAAAGATGGCCGCTTTCATTCCCCATAGCAGCGACGTGGGAACGATTGCACTGAAATAATAGGGATTTATCCGTCCTGGTTTTTATTAAGCAGGATTTAAAAGGTTTCTTATTTCATGTGATGATTTAGGGCTGAAACTATTAAAAGTATTTTTTATCCAAATGAAAGTTAAATATTTTAATCAACCTGAACTATAATGAAAAAACATCAAAGGGAAACGCCGTTTTTTTTTTTTTTTACATCAGCCCCTTGATTTTACATTACATCATGTTCTACTCACTTAAAACAAAGCGGAGCGTGTATGACGTCTTCCCCGTGCCCGAATAAAGTTGTGACAGGCAGCAGGGGGGGATTTACCATTAGGCAATACTAGGCAGCTGCTTAGGGCCCCAAGTTCCTGGGGGCCCCATAAAACTCTGTTTACATGTATGATTAATACAACTATTCCTTATTCGTGCACATTAATTATGTTTTTGATAAAAATCCTTTGGCTAAAATGCCATCAGAACGCTGATAATATTAAGTGTGTCTCAGCCCCCCCCCTTCAGTGTCCACCATATTGGATCAGTCCATTTGCTGCACATGTTCAGAAAGGTCCAAACAGACAGCAGCAAACCATTTGAAAACAAACCATGCAAAGAGCAGTGTTGCCAACTTAGCGCTTTAGTCGCTATATTTAGCCACTTTTCAGACCCCTCTAGCACTTTGATTTCTAAAAAGCTCCTAGCGCCAAATCTAGAGACTTTTTTTCTGCTACTGGAGACTTTGGAGACAACATCTAAAAGCAGCGAACTCTGCTCTCCAGAGCGAGTAGATTGGTAACCCCGCCTCCTGCTCTCCTCTATCTTGTCTGCTGTCATGATTCATGCAGCTATTATTTCATCCAAATGAAAAATGGAGAACAGATAAGCAGATCATGGCTTGTCTACAGTGAAAAGAAGGACTGGGTTATTTACTTTGGCCTTTTTGGAAACGCAGGAAGGAGCAATCAGCTAAGTGAGCTTAGTGCTTGGAAAAAATCTTTCATTCCTTTAGAGACAGCATGAAAAGTCAGCTGAGTAGAAAACATAGAGAGGAAAACAAGAAGAAAAGGGACAAGAAGAGAGGGACACAACCTAGAACAGATAATGGATGTCTATTCTATTAACATTTCTACATCTGGAGAATGGGGCTGTTTTATGTGTTGTCTTCTCCATTCAGAGGGCCCCCCTGCCTGTCTTTGCCTAGGGCCCCACATTTCCTAAAACTGCCCCTGGTTCCTAAATATCTGCCTTTTTAGGGTAAATTTTGTACTAGGGTTGAATATGATGTTTGAGCAAACATTTAGAGTTTGAAAGAAAAATATTTGGAAAAGGAGGAAATTAGCTTGACTCTACTGTCAGTCAGATACTGACGAGTTTTTCCACCCAAAGGGCCCCACATTTCCTAAATCCGCCCCTGACAGGCAGCCCGGGCCACAGGCGGCTACGCTCTACCCCTTCTATTCATTCTAGCAAATCGGAATCGTTCAATTCCATTTGGAGAGCGAGATCATCTGTGGTAGCAGCACTAGACATCTTCGTCATACACGCTCCGCTTTGTTTAAAAAAAATATAAATGTAAAAAATATAACCGCGGATGTCTGGGGGACAGTGATTGGTCTACATGTTCTGAATGCTGGCGTACCATAAAGAATAAATGATGAACAGTTTAGTTTGTGCCTTCAAGTCGTTGCCCATAGGAAGACGTTACTGGATATAACCTAACGGAATATCTTCAGAATAGGGCTGGGCGATAATTCAATAATGATATATATTGATCGATAGACGTGTGGCGCAATAGAAAAAACAGGGTTGATAAAAGTTCAATAAAGAAATGCTAGGCTAAAGGGTGAGTTGATTTTTTGGGGGGGTTTTGTTCTTGTTGAGTGGAGTTTACATGGTAGCCTAGTCCTACAATCTTTTAATTACCACAAGCTGGTGGTGTACTATTCCCACCCAAATAGGGTATTCTATTTATTTATTTGTTATATTTATTTTGGTCACTTTTCTGGTCACTTTAGTTTATTCTTTGTCAGTATTTAATAACATAACTCGGGTCTCTTAAGTTATTTTTCCTTAAAACAATTCTGTTATGGTTAAAAATGTTAGTTAAATAAAGATTTAATTGGAAGTCTGTGTTTGTGTTCTTTATTAAAATTAAATCATTTAGCAATATCATAAATAGTCCAGGCAGAGCTGCACATAAAATATGGTTTCAAATCTTTTCAATAATTATCGATATCGATCAATATGCATTTTTTTTTTATCGATAAGCTTTTTTTCTATATCGTCCAGCCCTACTTCAGAACGGCTCCACATGACATTAAACTCATGTGGGTGAGTAGAACATGATGGAATAACGTGAAATCAAGGAGCCAATGTAAAAGAAGGGTGCTCCCCTTTAAAAGATCCAATTAATCCACTTAAAGCAGCACATCCATCATTGCCTAAACATCCCAGTTTATCTAAATCTTCTTTATGTCTTTTCTGCAGATTTAAATGTTTTCTTTCACTAACTGTTCATTTAACAGGTTCTGTGTTTGTTGTCCAGTGAAGGAAACAGACTTTTATAGCTCTCTATTTATATATCTATATTGATCTAGATTTCTCAGCTCATAACCACAATAAACGCAGCTGTTAATATTTCCAGTTTTTAAACATTATTTTTGACACTTTCAACAAATATCTTTTATTTTTAACATGAATCCAAACATGTAGTTTAAACTGATTCATAAACGGATATCAGCTCTTTTAATTTGCTGAATCTCACATCAACATCTCATCCAAACGATGCTGACCAACAGATAGTTTAATAAAACTTTATTTTACCTGTAATGAATCGTAAACCCGCTGAGCAAAGCGCTGCTCTGTTAAACCACCCGCCATTTCCGCCATTTTTCTTCTTCTTCTTCCTCGTTAGATTCTTTATGGGATTTTATTGGCGGTTGGATCGCAACGAAATGGTGCATTACCGCCACCAACTGGTATGGAGTGTGGATCTGAACGGCTACTACAGAACAAAACAAAACCAAAATAAGATTCAGATCCTCATGACATTTATTAATCTATGATTATGAAAAACAATTATATAACACGTATCTCTTTAGTTCTTTCTAAAGATTTATATTAAATTCTCTCTTTTTTAAGATTTTGAACCAATTCCCTCCTTTTTCTTTCATACTTCTCACAGTGTACCATAACATGTTCAATAGTTTCTTGTTGCTCACAGTATTCACACATACCGGTGTTTTAAATAAAGTACTGTTTAATCCTGTTTGCCCAAATCTAATTTTTTATATAACAGTTTCTTCTCTTCTGTTCCTTCCTGCACATCTAATTTCTCTCCTCTGTTTTTGTTAGATTAGCGGATTGCAACCAGTTTATAGGTGCATACCGCCATGAGTGTGTAGCTCTATAGTTCCACCTACTATACTCTATTTTTTTTTTTGTGTTATGTAAAAATAAAAGCAATGCTTTATTAATAACAAAATGCCCCCCCATCTCCATCTGTCCCTAAAATCCCATTAATACTCCATTCTTTCCCTTTTTTCGAATTACTTTCCTCATCTTCTCGCTTTCAGTTGCATATTTAATGCAATCCATCAAAACATGATCCATGTTTTTTTTTTCACAACCCTCACATAAATCATTTTTTCTCTTCCCTAGTACAAACTAAAACTCATTCAAGCAGGTATGTCCAGTTCTTAATCTAGTATAAATTATCTCTTCCTTTCTGCTTCTTTCATCATCATTTTTAACAATTACAGATTTTTGAACCCCATATAATCTTCTCCCTTTCTTATCTTCATCCCAATTATTGATTTTCCTTCCCCTTTCCTAAACGGGATCTGATCTCTATTCTGCTTTCCTAAAGCCTTTAGCTAACTTGTCTGCTATTTCATTTCCTCTCACCCTTTCATGTGCTGGAAACCAACAGAACTGAACATATATTCCATACCTAAATAACCTAAACAAACTCTGATTAATTTCTAGTACAAGGTCTTTCCTATTATTTCCTCCTGAATGAATGCTTTCTATTGCAGCTTTAGAATCTGTGCAAATCACCACCCTGTCCGGTCTGACCTCCTCCACCCACTGGAAACTAATAATAATTACTACCATTTCTGCTGTGTATATAGATAAAAGGTCTGTTAATCTTTTGCATATATCAAACTCTGGAATGAATATCTCTATTCCCACATTTCCCTTTCAATTTGTTGAACCATCTGTGTACATTTTTAAAAACTATAATACAATTGTCTAGTTTTAACCCCAACTTCATTATGTTTCCATTCTCTTTTCATTTCATGTATTTTCTTGTCAACTTTTGTTTCTGGAAACAACCATGGTGGTACAGCAATGACTGGGTTATTTTTAGAGAATATCTCATATATTTTTGCCCATTCATTCACAGTCCAGTCATTGCCAGCAGCTCACTGCTTGGGGTCCTGTCCACCAGACTGACGTGGCGCTTTCTGAACGTCTGATAAAATTGATGACAGCTGGGGAAAGACGACTCCTACATCTGCACGTCACCTGCCTGACCAGAATGACCCATTCCTGGACGTTTTCATGGATCTGGACTTTGTGGAGGACAGCGGTTCCCTGCTGCAAAATGTGATCCCAAGAATGGAATTCTTGCAAGACAGACCCAAAAACACTGTACTATGTATAATCTATTTCAGTTTCTCATCAAACCATAGTCCTAAAAATGTTATACATTTTACTTGCTCTAATTCTTGATTATAAATTTTAATTTTTAAGTCCTTGTTTTTTTTCGGAATAAATATCATTACTTTGTTTTTCCACAGAAAACTTCCATTCCCAGTGCAACGCCCATTTCAATTCCCGCCTTTCTTCTTCTCTGGGTTTTACTTTAAAATTAAGCAGCCATATTGACTCATTACCGCCGCCAGCTGGACTGGAGGGTGAACCGGAGTCTAAAGTCTTTTTGTGTTAAACAATGATCCTTCTTTGTTTTCACTCACATTAGCTCCAGATATTTTCAGCTGTTTAAATCATCAACCAGCGCAGCTTTCAGCTTCTTTTTTCTTTATGAAAACAGTTATTCATTCAAACACTGAATTATTTAGCTTCACAATTATTCGTCTACTTCATTTTAACTAAACCCCAAATCATATTTTATGTGGAAATATATATTTTTTAATCTTACTAAACAGCATGCAAACAAGTAAGTATATTTTGTATTGATTGTAGTGAATATTTTATAAAATGTATAAAAACCAAACTTCATGTAATTATGCTGCTTTAGGCTTGGAAAGCAGAACAGACAAGAGTAAAATTGTTTAAAGTATTATTATTTCATTATAATATGATATCTACTTGATGGGGGGGGCGCTGTAAAACAAGTAAACCTCTTAAAAGTATTTTTGTAAAAAGAAAATAGTAAAGTATATTAGTACGTAGTATGTATTTAGTTTGAAAACATTTTGGTTCATTTGAAGTCAAAGTAATCTGTTTAAAGCACCATAAAAATTTAATTCATTTAATTCTTAAATATTTGATTTATTTGATTTTTGACTGAAATCAGCTCCGAGTTTCCTGATTAAAACCTGCTGCTGGCTCTGGGACCACGTTACCATGGCAACAGAAACAGGGGTTCCGCTCCGGCCACCAGGGGGCAGCAGCGCAGGAGCGGTTCACGGTGTGGAACGCAATGATAATAGCTTAATGACGTCACTTCCGTAAGAAAACCAGCCTGACCGAGCAATATTCATGTGTTTGATGCCGCGGGGCTGAAATCCTCGCGGTTTATCTTCACGCGTGTCCGGGATCCGTGGGAAGGGAAGTTCCTCCGCCGCTGAGATGAAGAAGAGCAGCTCGGAGAAAAGGCGCCATGTTGTGGCGTGGATCACCAAGGCGGAGTGGGACCAGGTGCTGGACTACCTCTACTCCAAGGATCCCGCCCTGCAGAGGTTCGCGCTGAACAGGGTCTCTGCGTGGAAGGCCCGCTACGCCCACAGCACGCCCGTGGCCGTGGACTGCACGGCCGAACTGGTCCGGTGTCAGGTTCTGGAGCGGTCCGGTCAGCTGGGCGGGGATGAGCTGGTCCTCCTGTACGGGACGGCCCTGGTCCGGTTCGTTAACCTGATCACCGAGCGGAAGCAGGGGATGAAGGCCCAGCCTCTGAGGCGGCTGGCCGGGAGGCTGAACATCCCTGAGTGGGTGGTGGACCTGAGGCACGCGTTCACCCACAGGAAGCTGCCCACGCTCAGGTGGTGCAGGAAGGGCTGCAGGGTGGCCCTGGACTGGCTCCAGCAGGAGTACTGGTCCAGGCAGCTGGGAGGGGGGGCTGAGGAGGACTGGGAGGCCCAGTCTGATGGGGAGGAGGAGGAGGATGCTGAGAGGAGGCGGCAGGAGGAGCTGATGAGCAGGCAGAAGGAGATGGAGGCGTACAAGGCTGCCCGGGACCTGCTGGTGTCCTACGAGGAGGAGCGCTTCAAGACTCTGGACGGAGCCCAGGAGGAGCCGCCGCCATTCGCTGACCTCAGCTGGTTACTGGAGGAGATCAAGCAGGCGTCGCTGGAGTCCAGCCAGCTGCTGGTGGAGGTGCTGCTGGAGGACGGCTTCCTGGTTCCCACGGCCCAGCAGCTGGAAACCTTAGGCTGCGAGCCGCCCGAGAGCTCCGGCTCCTCGGAGCCCAGGATCCCCCCCGTCTTCCTCCGGTTCTGGCTCCCCCTGCTGAGGATGCTGCACTCCCCCTCCTTCATCCACCTGCTCCTGGAGAAGCTCCTCCTGGAGCTGAAGCTGCTGAGCAGCGGCCAGAACGAGCGGCGGCTGTTCTTCGTCTGCGCCTGGACCTCAGAGGTCATCCTCTGCAACAGCAACAAGTTCCAGTTCCGCTTCGAAAAGAAGATGCAGAAGAAGGCCCGGATGAAGGAGCGGATCTATGTGAACCGCATCCAGCTGCGGTGGCAGCAGCTGCTCTCTGCGTGTCTGGAGGCGCCCTGCGTCTACACGCCTCACCTGCTGCAGGTCATCCTGGATGACATGGAGCATCCGCTGCCTCAGGAAACCCAGCAGAAGCTGCTCCAGCTCTGCTCCATCTACACGCAGACGTCCAGCACGGAGCTCCGCCCCCCCAAGGAGCAGCAGCAGCAGCCCGTTTACACCCTGGAGAGTCTGCAGCAGCGCGGCCCTCTAAGGAGCAGCAGTGAGAGGAGCGAGGCCCCCGGCGACCCGAGAGGGGCCGAGGCCCTGGCTGAGAAGGCCAAGCTGCTCAGGGGTTCCCCCTGGCAGGTGTGCTTTGACAAGGTGCAGTGGAAGAACTTTCCTCTGGGGAAGGTTCCTGGGCAGCAAGACGATCCATCCTGCCTCATGGCGGAAACCTATTCAGCGATGGCGGTCTCTGAGCAGCCAATGGAGCTGGAGGGCAGCAGGAAGCAGGCGGCCCCGGGGGCCTCTGGGCTCACTAGAACCGCAGAAGGTCTCCTCTGGACCCAGAGTGACGTCAGCAGACTGAAATCTGGACTCAAGCTGTTTTGATCAGAGATGTGAAGCAAATAAAGTCGCTGTGGACCCCACAGACGACGAGTCAACAGACGCAGGCCCCGTGGGGGCCACAGGCGCCGTGGACCCCACAGACGGCCATCACAATCAGACTTAGAGGAGGAGCCGCTGGTTAAAGCTGACGTCAGAAAAACGTGGCGCTCTGCGGAGCTTCAGGAGGCGACGTTAAACAGCCTCTGATTGGCTCCTTTTAGAGGAAACATTTGTTTTCCATCCTTTCACTGCAACTAGATTTAGATTAAAAACCAAATAAAAACTGGTCCTTTGTTGTTTGTAATTTACTTTTGTTCTTTTATGTGGAATAAACTCTTTTTTTTACATGAACTCTTTCATGGTGACTGAAGGTTCATCAGACCGCTGCGTGAATAAAGCTGAATATCACAGAAAAGGAGCTTTAATTTGTTTTTATAAAAACAAACTAAAGGAAAGTTTTAAAATATTAAGAGGATTAAATGTATTATTGTATAAAAATGGTTTGTTTACTTTTATGATCCATGATTTTACTAAAATAAATGAATCTATCTGAAGGTTCAGAAATGATAATCTTACTTGGCAGATTAAGATTAAAACATTACAGAATATAGATATTTGTTTTCCAGAGGAAATCCACTCGGGACATGAAACATGTTTTAGTGTCAAACTCTGTTCCTTTGAAACTAATCTAAACAGCCGGTATCTTGTTAAGGAACCATCAGCTCAGATTATTCAATAAATCCACGGAAATATGAAACTGTTGGACGAACATTATGCCTGGATGGAGAAGATGTGACTAAATATAAAAAAATACATCAATATGTTTTCAGATCCTCTGGATTAGATCAGGGTTTGTTTTTCAGTTCTTATTCCAGATTAAAACAAAGAGATTGATTTATAAAGGGGAACTAATACAATCCAAAAATCTAAATAAATTTAATAAATTTTCCTTTAAATGTATTTTAAGTAAGACCGTTTTCCAAAAGAATAAGATTGTTGAAACAGGAAAAGAACTTATTTTATTTCAAGTTTAAAGAATATAATTATTTGGAGATGTATTCTACTGGCAGATAATCTCAGATTAAGGACAAACATTAAAGAAAGCTTTACTTGTTTTAGATCCGATCCTGCAGAGCAGCCGTGCTGCCAGCATTAGATCAGCTGCAGGACGTCACGATGCTGCTAACCATTATTTTACTAATCCTTTAATCTTATCGATAATTTTTTTGATTAATCGAGTAATAATCCAATAGCCAATGGTTCCTCAAAGAAGGCTTTTTACGAAATCAAACCAGATGAAGCTAAAACCTTTTCCACTTGAGGAGTTCTGGATTATAGACCAGATTGACTGAAGGAATTTTTTTTTATATTAAATGCAAAATGTTTATATAATTTTTTACAATCTTGGTATAATTGCAGGCCGTCCTGATGTTCTGTTCAAGTTAGAGGAAAGGCTGGATGGAGCAGAATAGAGGTTAGAGATAATAACCAGGTTTCAGTTTGGAAATAGTGGATTTAATTCAATTATCAGTTAATTCAACACAGCGTAGAACAGAAGACCAGTGAACAGCAGGATGGGATTTTTCCTTTTGAACAACAAGCATCATTTCTAATACTGCAAAGTAGATGCAATTAGCTGAGTTTAAATAGAAAACTTTTAACAATTATGTCTGGATTATTTGATTCAACTAACGATGGAAAGCGTGTTGCGAGCAGGTTCCTGGGGGCCCTATAAACTCTATTTACTTGTATGGTTAATACAACTATTCCTTATTTGTGCACATTAATTATGTTTTTGATAAAAATCCTTTGGCTAAAATGCCATCAGAATGCTGATAATATGAAGTCATCGTATAGAGACCCAAACCAACAGTGGAGGAAATGACAAGTTTAAAACCTCTGGAGGAGAGACTCAGCACTGCAGAAGATTCATTCATTTATTGTTAAAAAGAAAGATTTTGTTCTTTTCATGGTAGAAGTGATCAACTGTGGTGCTCAGACGACAAGAAAAACTGCAGAAAAAATCAAAATAATAGTGAAAGCTGCAGAAAAGTATCTTGAAGTTAGAAATTTAAACTTGGAAACAGTTGAAAGCATGATGGGAAAACCAGTAGGACCATCAGAGACTGCAGAGTGACGATAACTTAAAGATAAATTAGAAATCATGAGGGCGAATGTGACGTCAATTTACTTTGTTGGGTAAATTAAACGTTTTGTTTTTTCTGGGGGTGAGTCTTTTCCTTTTTCCTTGTTTTATTCCTTATCAGTTGGTGGCGGTAATGTAGCCTCGTGAGACCATCCTGATCTCGCGAGCTTTCAAGGTTTCACTCGCAGATCAGTCTGGAGACTCTCCGTTAAAGAAAATTTGGAGCCGTTCACCAAACGAACGTCCAATCAGCGTTGGCTTTGAGGCGGGTTGAGGTGTGACGCAACGAGAAGCGCGACAGTTCAGTCTAAAGAACATGGCGGCTTCAGCCGATGAAACTAGCGTTAGCGTGGCTATCGAGCAAGTTTTATCGGAATTACAGAGTATTTCTTCACTGAAAGAAGAGCAAAACACTGCTCTGGAGGCTTTTTTCAGAGGAAAAGATGTTTTTGCTCTTCTCCCGACTGGTTTCAGCAAGAGTTTGATCTATCAATTGGCTCTTCTTCGTCGTCGCTCTGTTAGTACGTCATATGCTTCGTTGATCTGATTGGTTTATTTGGCCCGTCTATCACCAACATAGGCCAATCAGCTAACCAGTATTTTTGCCCCTTCCCAAAATTACTTCAACGGAAGGTTTCCAGATGGATATGCGGAGCAAATCCATCTGGCGGAGTCAGGTTAGCGGTAATGCACTTTTCACTAGTTTGCCAACCGCCATAAAACCTCACAAGAAGAAGAAGAGGAAAGAGGGATTATTGATCAAGTTGAGGAAAATTGGCTTTTTTGGAAGAATTTATCATTGGATAGAGAACTTTTTAACAGAACGGAAAATACAGGTAAGAGTCTTTCAAGGAGAAATGAAATAGAAAACGGAACTCCACAAGGCAGTATTATAAGTCCTTTATTATTTTCAGTCATGATAAACGATGCATTTAAAGAAATAGAAAATGAATTGGGTTGTTCATTGTTTGTTATCTGGAAACGTGGAAAGAATATTACATTTATTGTAGGGAAAGTCCAAAAAGCCATTCATAAGATTGAGCAATGGTCTTACAAATGGAGTTTTAAATTTTCAGTAGATAAAACAAAAGTATTGCTTTTTACTCAGAAAAGAAACCAAGAAGTACAACTGAAGTTATATAATCAAGATCTAGAGAGAGTTAAGAAATTTAAATTCTTAGGAGTATAGTTTGATGAAAAAATATCCTGGAAAGTGCACATAGATAAGGTTATTGAAAAATTTAAAAAGATACTTAATATAATGAGATGTTTAGCTGGGTTTGAATGGGAGGAGATAGGAAAGCTATAAGATTAGTTTCTATAAATCTAATTAGGTCAACAGTTGATTATGGAAGTATAGTGTTTGGATCAGCATCGGAGACAGCACTGCGTTTGATAACTGGAGCAATTAGGACAACTTCAACATCAGCTTACAGGTGCAGGTTGGTGAAATGCCACTAGAACTGAGAAGAATGCAACCGTCATTAAAATACTGGCTTAATTTGCAAGGACACAATCCAAGCTGTCCTACACAGGTAACTTTACATCCCTGCAGTGAGAAAGAAAAAGCTGATAATAAATTATTTGGTCGGACAATTATTCAGAAAGCAACAGACTTAGGATTAAATCATTTAAACATTAGTCCAACTGTTCCTTTATCAATAACACCACCCTGGATTTTTACCTGAAATAATAGTAGATTTATCAATACTGGAAAGGAAAAATAGAAGCAAAATAAATATATTTAATTCTATAATAGTGGAGGAATATATAGAACAGTTTTATATTTATGTAAAAGTTTATTTGGATGCATCAAAGAGCCAATTAGGACAAACGGAAGTAGGTGTAATTATTCCAGAGTTTAAACTGCATATAGGGAGGAAATTAAACGAAGGGTTATCTGTTTATACGGCAGAAATGATTGCATTATTAGTTGCTAGAATGGATTGAGGGAGTAAAACCACTAAGAGCTGTTATATGTTCAGATTCAAGTTCTTCATTGATCAGTTTAAAAAGAAATCATTCAGAAAGCCGTCCAGATATTTTATTAGAAATTCAGCAAACACTGTATCATATTCAAATGATAGGGCTAACGGTAGTTTTTCTTTGGGTTCCTGCACATATAGGAGTGAAAGGAAATAATAAGAAAGCTAGAGAGTCGATAAACAAAAGTAACAGTGATATAAGAATGAATTGATATCAGTAAATCACAGTTTTATTAAAAGAAAGATTCAAGAAAAATGGCAAAAACAGAGCATATAAAAGGAATATGGCTTCACAGAATACAAAGGAAGGTTGGAGACGTTCACGGGAAAATCGGGAGGAACAGAATACAAGAAAGGATAATAACAAGACCGTGGTTTGGACATACAGGGCTTAATTCAACATTACAGTTGATGGGAAAACATGAAACAGGAAGTTGTGATGTGGGGAATTTGAAACGATAGAACATGTTATGCATAACTGTAGGAAATACCAAAGAACACAGCTGATAAGGAGTCTTGAAAAGGAAAAAGAGCAGAATTGTCTAATAAATATTTTAAGGAAAAGGACTTAAGGTTATAGAATTATGTTTCATTATTTATTAGTAACAGGTTTAGCGAGAAGAATATAGTTTGAGCATGTTGTCCTGATCCACACTCCTGACTGGTTGGTGGCGGTAATGCACCATATAGTTGTTTGCCAACCGGCAATAAATTCTACAAGAAGAAGAAGAAGAAGAAGAAGAAGAAGAAAGGAAAGCTACCGCTGCTAGCACATGAAGGGGTAAAAGGAAATGAAAAGGCAGACAAATTAGCAAAAAGGGCTTTAGAGGAGGCAATAAAAACAATTCCTTTAGGGAAAGGGGAAGGAAAATAATTTATTAAGAGGAAAGAAATTGAAAAATGGTGGAATGAAGATTAAAAAAGGAAGAAGATTGTATAAAGTACAAAAGTCAGTATTAAATAGAAATATTAATGACAGAAACCGAAGGGAAGAAATAATAATGATCAGATTAAGAGTAGGTCATACTTATTTAAAGGACAATTTATATTTAATAGGGAGGAAAAATAATGATAAATGTGAAGGATGTGGAGAGATAGAAACTGTAGAACACGTATTGATGAACTTTAAAACATCTGGACCTGAAAGGGAGAAATTGAGAAGAGTTGAAAGGACAGGCCAAGAATGGAGTCTTAAATGATTATTGGGAAATAAAAGAAATATAAAGGATATTTATAGATTAAGGAAAGCATTATTTATTTATCTTCAGAATACAAAATAAAAAAATAGAATTTAATAGATGTAAAACAGTGTTGCTACACACTCATGAACAGTAGGTGGCGGTATGCACCTTAAAGTCGCTTGCGATCCGCCATGATAGAAAAGAAGAAGAAGAAGAAAGGAAAGCTACCGCTGATCTTCGCTCAGGAACTCGCTGCCTCCTTCTCTCCTTTATCGGTTTGATGTAAATTAAAAATATTCATTTATATTTTATAGCTTTTGGTTCCTCCATTGCTTTCTATCGATAGAGTTTGATAGCAAGGGGCGCTACGTGTTTGTAGAGGGAACTGCTGCGTCATTAAGTCCTTGGTTTTTTTAGCTTCTTTTTCCGGCCTGAAGCTAAAGTTAGCATTAGCCACTCCGAGACAAGTCTATTTATAAAAACAGGCATTCATTTGCAGACTGTTGATCGTTTGCACCACTGCTATCATTTGCTGCCCGTATTGGCTGGAATATAACCGATTTATAGGTTTAAAAACGGGCTCCGTGCTAAAGGAAGCTAAGGCCTTCTGATGCTAATATGGGACCGGAAGTTAATAATGGAGGGAGAATTTATATAATGTTGGTTTTTATATTTATAATAACCGAGTTTTTACTCCGCCTTCTTCTAATAAACGCTGGATTAGCCTTTTCTGGATCAGAGGAAGCTAACAGCAGTTAGCAACGTTGGTTAAACGTCTTTCAGGTCACGTGATCAGTCAGACAGGAAGTGTCGTTGACTGGAGGAAGTTAAGCAGGTTCAGCTGCTAGTTGACTAGTTAAATCCTATTTATCAAAAATTACAGATTACATTAAAGCTTACAAGTTAGATTAAGATTAGGATTAAATGAACACAAAGGGATGTTTAACCTGCTGCAGATCATTTTCGGGATTAAATCAGAAATCAGACTGAATCAAACATTTCAGTGGCCATGATTATGTCACCAAGAGGAAGAATATATTTCAATCATATTTTTAGCTGTAAGGTTTACCCTTTAAGATTAATAATTTATTCTATGATGTTTCCACAGACTTGGATTGATAAGATCCTCTCTGGTGAAAAGGTCTGCGATCTATTCCTCAAATCACAATGATCACCAGGAGAAGGAGCCGTGCCACGGAGACGCCGTCTGAGGTGGAAGTGATGGAAGAGGTGGAAATGGGGCCAGATGTGCTCTGCCCATCCGAAGCGGCTGCTGCTGACCATCCAGATCCTGCAGGGATCCAGCTGGAAGACCTGTTTGAAGATCTGAGATGGTCTCTAGAAAAGGACGCTTCCTCCCCCCTGTTTGGCATTGACCTTACGGATCTAGAAGCATATGATGTCACCAACTCTGGGTTCGACAGCTCGTCCTGCACGTCTCCAGAGAGAAGGTCATCCGGTTCCAGGATGAAACACCGACAGAACCAGGCCAGCCACGTCATCAACAAGAACGCCATCGCTGCCAGGATGAATCGCCTGAAAAAGAAGGAATATGTCAGCAGCCTGGAGAAGCAAGTTGGCCTCCTTTCGACGGAGAACACGGCGCTCAAACAGGAGAACTGTGAGCTAACTAAGCGAGTGGAAGAGTTGGAAGATGAAAGCAGGTATCTGAGGGCTGTGCTGGCCAATGAGAGCATGTTAGCCCAACTCTTGTCCAGACTGAGCGGTGTGAATGGGATGAAATTATCTTCCTCACTTTTCCAGGGGCCTCTCTCTAACGACCATGATTATGCGTTGCCCAGGAAACGGGTGAAAGTGGAGGAGAAGGAGGCGTCTGCTGGCGTGTGCCTGCATGTGGACAAGAACCACGTGTCAGTGGAGTTCTGCACTAAGTGTGCAGCGAGCGCAAGCGCCTCGCTCCAAATGTAGGGTCAAGTACTTGTTTTCTCATATTGAGACTGTGCAGAACCTAATGGAGGAAGATTAGAGCCGCCTCACAGCTGCAGAATGTGCATGTCTGATGATATGATGATGGCACCTTACTGCTAAACCTTGTTGACAGTTTCTTCTAGGTTGTGGTTGCTCCACCATGGGGGATGAGTGGCTTTCTGATCACCTTCTCCTGCTTGGCGCCATGGTAAGGACCAGACTCTCACAGGCCTCAGCAGCAGCAGCTCTACTTTTCTATAGCAGTTAAAACTTCCTGTTTTATGGATCTTTGATCAGTTTTGCTTAATAGAACAGAATCAGATTGTTTAGTTATTTGTTTTTTTTTTGGTGTTTATTAAAATGATGGTAGGGGTCCACAAAGAGCGACCTTTGGAAAGCAGCTGAAAACTTCTGCTGCCAGTTTGGCTTTTCTAGAAGGATCTCTTTGTTAACCCGCACCTGGTTACAGAAGAACTCATTGATTTAGCGCCACCTTTTTTCTTTATGCTGAAGTTCTGACGATGGGAGATGAAGAAGCTGGACACGCAGCTGCAACGTGGCCCTGTATTTTTTTAAAGGTAGTATCGGTAACAAATGGTATCAGTAATCCAACCATCACCTCATTCTACTTGTGTAGCTCTGGATGGTATCTGCAGAGCTTCAGCTCTCTGAGCACCTCCCTTCATTCTGTTATATTGTACTTAAAAAAATGAAACTGACATAACAGCTAAGTTTAATTTCATTATAAATATTTTTTCTTTTGGTGAAAATGCTCTGAGAAATGTTGGACAAATAAATCTCATCTTCTTTGTAAAATACCAAATATCTAGTGAGTCTGGTTGTTTGCTGTTGATATTAATGCATCTCTTTTCTCTTTCTGAACAGCAAGCTCTGCCGCTAAAGGTCTTAACTTTCCCTGAACTTTGGGTCCAGTCTGGTAAAGGTTGTCAGAACAAATAAAGGATGAAAGGTTGATTTCTATGGCGAGGGAACGGTTAACAGGAATCTATTTCTGCCACCAACTCCTCGGCAAAGAGAGGTGCTGAAATGCATCTTAGTTCAAACTTTGATCCAGATGCAGGAAAATCCAGCTGTTAAAGTTAAAGACTCGAATGTTAGAGGAAAATGCTCTGGGTCAAATGCTCTGACTAAAGATGGTGGCAGCAGCCAGCCATCTGCTGCTGGTTCTCCTTCAATCTGGTGGTGTTAATTAGGGCTGCAACAACGAATCGATAAAATCGATAAAAATCGACTTTTAAAAGCGTTGGCAAAGAATTTCATCATCGATTAGTTGTGTCGCGCGATTATTGCGTCATCCGCCGCGCCGTCATCACTGCCTCTTGACTGAAAGAGGAAGGAAAAAAAATACGGCAGAGCGAGTCAGCGCCGCAGGAGCAGTGTTGCCAACTCCGCGACTTTTCAGACCCCTCCAGCGACTATTTTTCAAAAAAGCCACTAGCGACAAATCTGGCGACTTTTTTCGGTGTCACTGGTGGCTTTTGGAGACTCTTACGTGAAAGCATGTATCATTCCTACTCTGCCGTGGGGCGCCTCCCCCACCCCAACCGCGTTTTCCCGCAGGAGTCCCTCTCAGTCAGAGCCTCAGCGTCCAGACTGCAAATGAAGCGCGCATGCACCGGGATTGACGGCGCAAATTGATCACAATAATTAAAATAGCCTGCGCTTTGTAAAGTGAAAAAAGTGATAACATGCAACTTTTTTCAAAAGAAATTAACATGGCACGGAACCACCATGTTTGTTTGGTTTTAAAGTGGGGAAACGTTACGTTAGTTTCTCAGGTAGCTCATCTGATGCTTTCCTTATCTTGTTAGTAGGTTACAGACAGTGATAAGGTTGGCTACTTATTTTACTTTAAATTTCATTTGAACTACCTTAAGCAGCGTTTACATTTACTTTATAAATAAATTAACTTGCAAATTATGAGGGCAAGACTTTTAAAGTTTAAATCTGGCAAAGATAAAGTAAAGATGATCCTGCAATTTATAGAAGTAAAGCAGAATAAAATCCAGCAAGATCAGTAATATGTCAATTAATTATCTGCCACATTCCCATGTAAATATCTGTCTTTGGAGGATGTGTTTTTTAGCACCCCTAGTTCTCTCATTTTTATTCCAAATACAATTTATAATTTGAATCACAGGCTATTTTTATCTCTATGGTTCAGTATTTCTCAAGTAGCAACTTTAACTGCTGTACTTTCCTGTCTTAAAAGGCAGCCCTCTTCTAGTCTAAAAAAACTCATTTGTTGAAATGGGGGGGCCTATTGTTTGAACCCCTTAGAGGCTTTTAAAAACAAAAATGTCTTTTTTTGCGCTTTATGAAACAAAGTAGCCTATATTTTGTGGATGTACAGCTACATTTCTCATGTAAGTTTGCGTAGTTTTAACACAAACATTTATTTTTCATATTGCACCAGGACAGTTAATGAGCAACCTGTACTTGTGTGCTTGTTTGTTCCGTCTAAGATGTTTATTTTGGAATAAAGAGGTTAGTATAAAAAATATTTTTTGTCCGATTCATCGATTAATCGAAAAAATAATCGGCTGATTCATCGATTTTTAAAATAATCGTTAGTTGCAGCCCTAGTTTGCATTATTGCAGAATAATATTTAGCAGCAAACACTTTGATGAAATAATTTTGCTCTTTAGAAGTGGGGTCAGTCTTCAGGCTGCTGAGGAAGAAACAGCTGATTGGCTGATCCACCACCAGCGGTCAACAGGAATATGGAAAGACCTCTTAAACAATCATATGATTATATTGATTAGAGATGAGATGAACATCATCGCCTCTCGGGCTGAGAGCGTCACCTCTGGTGATTTGGTTTAATGGATGAGCAGAAAAATATTCATGAAGAAAAAAACAAATTATATGAGGGAATTTATAGTATTACAGAATATGGAGAAATCTGTTCAGAAGTCAACCCATAGTACAATAATATACAGCATTTATTAGTGATGGTTCATGAGGCGTCATTCCACTGAATACTGACACCTTCTGGCCATTTAACATCACTACAGGCAGCCTCTGCCTGAACTGACTGATTAGATGACCTGGAAGGATTTAATCCACTGTTTGCTGGAATGGATTATTTCTTATCTTTGTTTAAATTAAATATCTTTGATATTTTTAGATGCAATCCATAGATGTGAGGTAGTGATGGTTAATGAGGCGTCTAGAGGCCAAACTATTGATCCTACGTTGATTCTGTCCTTCAGAATACTGACACCTGCTGGACATTTAAAGACACTACAGACAGCTGATTGGACAGACTCAACTGAATTGATTTGATGACCTAGTACCTAGCACAATGATATTTAAGTTATTGAAGTTTATATTGTATTATTTTTTAATATCTGTATTTAAATTAAAAATATATTTTTAGATGCAGCCAATAAATAATGTAAAATTTATCATAACGTGAAAATTTTGGGGAAAATGAATGAGGATGCTTGTGCACTAGGATTTTAAATCATAATTTTAAAACAAGTACAATAAAAATAGTAAATAAACTAAGAGTCAGTTTGAAATGAACTTTAACTCATAAGTTGAGTGATAAATGAGAGGAAAAGGATGAGACAACCAGAAAATTAAAATAAAAACTGACTGAATCGTTCCTTTTCCTTTTAGGCTCCAACATTCTTGATCATTTAAATGATATGAGATTGAATATATATTTTTAGCAGATGTATCATGTTGGTAGAAATGTTTTTAAACCCAGTTTAGTGAGTCCGTTAGTCAGAAAAACCTCCTGGATCGGACACATGACTTTCTGGAGACGACACGCACCGATGCAGCTCTATGGGCTCCATGCAGCACCCACGCATCGCTCTCAATGGAGCCATTACTAGTGTGAAGATATAACAGGAAAATTTAGGTGAACATGTGTGTTTGTGGACAAGGATTTATTATTTGAAATAACCAGAGTAAGAAGAGCAAACTAAGAACTGAGGAAGATGATGAAACAAGAACATTAAATATGAGATCAGATGGTCCCACTCAGCTGAAACCTTTGAGCTGCTCCACATTTCCTCATTCATTTGGTGAAAAACTGCAAAACATCAGAGATTGTTTTGGCAGAAGTGCTTATAAACAGCTTAGTGTGTCTGGACCCATCACTGGTCTGGATCCATCAGTAGTCTGGATCCATCACTAGTCTGGATCCATCACTGGTCTGGATCCATCAGTAGTCTGTACCCATCACTGGCCTGGACCCATCACTGGTCTGGATCCATCACTAGCCTGGACCCATCACTGGCCTGGACCCATCACTGGCCTGGACCCATCACTGGTCTGGATCCATCAGTAGTCTGGATCCATCACTAGTCTGGATCCATCACTGGTCTGGATCCATCAGTAGTCTGTACCCATCACTGGCGTGGACCCATCACTGGTCTGGATCCATCACTAGCCTGGACCCATCACTGGCCTGGACCCATCACTGGTCTGGATCCATCAGTAGTCTGGATCCATCACTAGTCTGGACCCATCACTGGTCTGGATCCATCAGTAGTCTGTACCCATCACTGGCCTGGACCCATCACTGGTCTGGATCCATCACTGGCCTGGACCCATCACTGGTCTGGATCCATCAGTAGTCTGGATCCATCAGTAGTCTGGATCCATCACTAGTCTGGACCCATCACTGGTCTGGATCCATCAGTAGTCTGTACCCATCACTGGCCTGGACCCATCACTGGTCTGGATCCATCACTAGCCTGGACCCATCACTGGCCTGGACCCATCACTGGTCTGGATCCATCAGTAGTCTGGACCCATCACTAGTCTGGATCCATCACTAGCCTGGACCCATCACTGGCCTGGACCCATCACTGGTCTGGATCCATCAGTAGTCTGGATCCATCACTGGTCTGGATCCATCACTAGCCTGGACCCATCACTGGTCTGGATCCATCACTAGTCTGGATCCATCACTAGCCTGGATCCATCACTAGCCTGGACCCATCACTGGCCTGGATCCATCACTGGCCTGGACCCATCACTGGTCTGGATCCATCACTAGTCTGGATCCATCACTAGCCTGGATCCATCACTAGCCTGGATCCATCACTAGCCTGGACCCATCACTGGCCTGGACCCATCACTAGTCTGGATCCATCACTAGCCTGGATCCATCACTAGCCTGGATCCATCACTAGCCTGGACCCATCACTGGCCTGGATCCATCACTGGCCTGGACCCATCACTGGTCTGGATCCATCACTAGTCTGGATCCATCACTAGCCTGGATCCATCACTAGCCTGGATCCATCACTAGCCTGGACCCATCACTGGCCTGGACCCATCACTGGTCTGGATCCATCAGTAGTCTGGATCCATCACTGGTCTGGATCCATCACTCTGACTGGCTGGTAGTTTCTCTCCTTCCAGGCTGTAAAAACAGGAGAAGACGCATCAATCTGCGTCTTCCTTCTTCATCCTTTGTTGGTTTGAACAGATGGAGGCGCCTTAAACAAGCAGAAAGAGGTGATGATACAGATCTATTTCAAATAGACGAAGCAGTGAAGTCATTTATGCTCTAAACCAGTGGTCCCCAACCTTTTTCGCCCCACGGACCGATTATATGTCAGACAATATTTTCACCGACCGGCGGCGGGGGGGGGGGGTTAAATATGATCAAATAAAATGATACAACTGGCATAAAATAAAATACAAATAGCATAAAAACATAACTCATCATTATGCTGAATTAGTGGGAGCCCTGAGCTTGTTTCTCCGAAACAAGCCGGTCCCATCTGGGTGTAATCGGAGACAATGAAACACATAGTGTGCTCCTGATGTCC